CATTGGCGACGGGTAATGTGTTCAGGTACCCTAACATTCTAACTGCATTTACTGACTCTGATTAATTATTAATTCATGGTTTTAGATCCAGAGAGAAGTAGCGATAACAAACTTCAACTGTCAAAAGCCAACATGGCAGCCCGTGGGTCATTTAGTTTCACTGACCGAGACTCAAAAAATTAATTGATACAACCAGGGACATGAGAAATGCCCCTCCAGTATAGCGATAACACACTTCAATTGTCAAAATCCAAAATGTCTACTAGATGGTGACACTTAAAAACACAACACAACTGGGGACAGAGAAGAACCTTCAGGTAAAGCTTGAGAAATGTCCCCCTCGTACGTCTCAAGAAATGCCGATAAGTACGATTGTTTACCGACAGACGGCGTAACGACGAGAGACGTTGATTATTTGACAATCCAACCACTTGATGACGGTGAGCTAAAAAATAGGATTTCTCTAAGAATACCGAACTTGATGATAACAATTTCATGCAACATAATTTCTCTGACAATAAATTGAACATTTAGTGAAAACACGTATCACAAATGTAGCTTATGTAAAAATTTATTTCCAGAAAAAGAATAGAACCGAGATACATACATTATACATCCCACATGTACATGCCCATTTTCCTAGTCAGAAGTGACTGCAATGATAATAAACTTGTGTCTGTATTGTACTATATAATGGATTTCATTCACACATAAAATACCTACTGGTAATTCCTACATCACGTTGGTAAATGGTGTTTTATTTACAAACGTGTTTCATTTAACTATAAGGCATTATATATTAATATAATTATTACAAATAAGATATTTAAATATTTTTTCCTTTAAGAATAATAACAAAATATTCAGTATCTATATTTCTCAATATTTCACCAACAGTTATATATTAATATGATTATCATAAATCAGACATTTTAATATTTCTTTTTTTTCCCTTCTGAATAATAACACAAAATTCAGTATCTATATTTCTCAATATTTCACTAACAGTATCTGACAAAATTAAGACAGGGCATTATTTTTCCCAATTAATGAACACATCAGATAATACTTTTATAAGCATATTTTCGTTCACATGTATTTCTAAATTGAATATTATGAATGATCAGTTTGTGATTGTCAGCACACAAATACAAAATGAGGACAGTTAGATAATGACTGGTTGGCTACTGGTCTTTTTCCTTTATTTCATGGAATACTGTAATGTGCAATGATTGTGAAATAGAGGTTAAAGCTATTTCAGATGGTAAATAAACATCAGGGAGCAAGTCTATTATTAAAAAGTTTTGAATACATACTGAATAACTGTGCCACCTTTTCTTCAACCATTTGTTGACTCAAGCCTCTTTTGTGTAGCCATCTCTTTAACTTTTTTTTTGTCATCAAGTATAGTCACTCTCGATTTAGAATTACAATCTCATTAATTACGATGGACACCAGCAGATTGTTCTTTGTCTATCAACAGGCATAAGTTTCCTCTCTCTACCTTGCACTGAGTTAACTACATAGCCCATTTATACACTAGTAATATCATCTAAATTAAAAGCCAAGCATTTGTGAATAGCAATACTAATCAATATGGCGGCATATTTATAAACCTAACTATGGAAGAGAGAGAGAATTTAATTCATTGTTTGGCTGTACTGTATGTAACTCTAAAAATATTAAAAAAAAAAAAAAAAATACGAAATTTATTTAATTTATTGGGCTTGTGCACCTTAATATGTAGAATTTTACATTTCATTTGATAACTTGATTATTCCCGAAAACCTTCATAATTTAGGCACTTAGAATCACTGAAGTGCCCTCAAAAGGACAAAACAGCTGTATGATGTAGTTTAATTTGATGTTTATTTTACTCTAAATTTGTATTAAAATATGCTATTCACTTGTGTGTCTTGTACAATCTTTTAGATAAAAATTTCCCTACCAAATATTCAATCTCCCTATCAGCTATCCTTACAAAACAATTTTACATCATCACATGAAATCTACAGCTCATGTTAAACTTTTGAACTCCCAATGAAAAAAATTATCTTAATTTCATATTCTAAATAAAAAAAAAATTCACTACATGATTTTTATGGAATGTTGTTCAACAATTCTTTGAAAAAAAATTAATTTAACACCCGCTAATTGTTAATATTGAAAAAATTGGTGAAAATCACAGATTCTAAGTCATACGATATATTTACATACATCAGCCATCCACAACCTGTATATTTCTGTTAGTTTTAACAAATTACATAGACAAACAAAGCACTCTGTTGGGACACACATCAGAAATTATATATCCTAACTGAAATATGTTTACTTGAATATGAACACTATTGATAATTGTATTCCGTTGATAAGTGACATGCAGCCATATTGCTATGTGTGTCACAATGAGGACTTATAAACACTTCATTGAATATTTCATAGTTTTATGGTATTTTAGTTATAGATAGGATGTTAAATTACTTCAATTTTCAAAATCTTTGTTGTCCAGAAAATTGACATTCACCATAGTACTTAAAAGTGTTTCTTATTTCATGTTTTGTTGTAAAATTAACTATTGATTCAGGACAATATTTTGTTGTCTAATTCTGATTGTGGAAAAAAAATCTTGTGGTCTAATTTTGATCCCGGTCAATATCTCAGTCTAATTTTGATCCTGGACAATATCTTGTTATCTATTTTTGATCCTGGACAATATCTTGTGATATAATTTGAGGTGTTTTTTTATCCTTGTCAATACCTCATGGTCCAGTTAAGATCCTGGACAAAACCTTTGTTACTTGTAGATCTAAATGTTAAATGAACTTAGGTATCGCCCACCTAAAACATCTACATTGATGATATGTAACAGACATCTAGAAATGAACTTGTGCAGGAATTGGACCAAGGGACTCTTTCACTCAATAAATGTGAACAGTCAGTGATGCCCAATTCATATCTATTTCTTCAAAGCGTAAATGCTGATAGCAAACATACACTTGCATGTAAATAAAAATAAAAAGTACACAATATCACACTTAATTATTTCATACCGTAATATACATAATAAGTTACTTGTACTAATAATACAAGTTTTACAAAAACAGGGATATTGAAATCAAATGAAATCTTCAAAAGAGCTGATCACATCAGTATTTTGAATCTGAAAATATTACTTCATAGATTTAATCAACTTTTATTATTAAGACATAAACTCGATTGCCAAACAAACGAAAATGGTAGAAATAAAAAAAAAAAAAACAAGTTACTAAGCACTGAGACGTAGACAAAGGAAAACATATTCTATAAACATTACCATTTATTTATAATTGTGAAGATTTTAATTCAATGCATTCCGTTGATTTTAACACACCTATTCAATTTGCATGTCAATGGATTTTGTAGTTATTGTACATAAAAACAACCATATCATCTTCAGGTGTGTATATATTATGCAAAATATCTGAAACACAAAAACAGATTGGTCCTTTAATGAAAAACATTATCTTAATATCGAGATTCAGATTAATGAGAAATAATAACGATTTCGTTTACAAGTTATTTGATCATATTTTATCTTATGTCTACGAATAAATAAAAAACGACAAGTACTAGAGCCAGATTATTTACTCTCTAACAAACGTTACACTGTGTTGATCAACATGTTTCATCCGTTTTATACTGGTATACAAACTTAACAAATGTGTTGGAATCCCAAAAATACTAGATTCTGTAAATGAAAAAAATTATGGTGCTACATCACACCAAACTGGTTAATGTTAATGAAAAAATCTTAATTTTGTTTCAATTCCATCCGAGGCATTGCTCTCCCAACAGTTTTATGTTGATGATAATATGTAGTTTTCTAGATAAAATACACCTAATGCAATACCATGACGTTAGAAAGAAATATTTTTTGTCTTCATTGATAAATATAAAAAGGTAAAGGACCCCTGTAACTTCTAGAAACTTCAAATTTGACTAAAATGCATATTTTTGTAGAGAATATGATTTTTTTTCAAACTTTGAAGATCGCTTGGTCAATACGAGGATACATTCAACACAAATAATATATATATTGGCAGAAGTGGGTAGCTTGATTTATATAGGAATGTTGAGATCACAGGGAACTTTTTAACTTAGTATACAAAATAATGGGACTCTTTAGGTTGTCTATTCTGTGTTTACCTTATTTATTCTGCAATAAGTCCATCTTAGCAATAGGCCCACTGGTGCTTATTTGTGTTTCACAGTCCTGAGATAACCCCATCCTCTGATTTGAAGTTAGAACGTTGTGTTGACCCGTTTTTTTTTTTTTTTTGCAGGATAAATAAGGTCACACCACCCAAAATCTCAAAATACATGAACTACAGTGAATCAATCTTACAGACATGATCTAGCCTCTCCCTCATAAAACACTACTTCCTATGGCATCACCAAGGCCTCATATGTTGAAAGGTACATATATATACGAATATTTACATCTATAGATTCAAATACTTAGAGAGGTAGAGACTTAAAGTGAAAAGATATATTATAATGTAATTTCCAAACCTTAAGGACAATATACGCCATCATGTGTTCCCAATGGACAGGCCATCTGTATATCATTGTTTTTTTTTCTATTTGAATAGTGTTTAACGTAACTTTCAAAGAATACAAACTTGCTTGCAGAATATTAAGTAAAACAAGTAAATTGTTTTACAAAGAAGCTCCACAGGAATTTAAAATAAAGCTTCTCGCTAAAATGTAAGAGCTGTAATGATGCAGTTTATCTCTAAAATAATGTGCATCATGATACAGACCCTTTGATTCAAAGATCTTCAATATGATGTACTCGCTGTAAGTGATATCTAAAAAGCTGACTTTAAAAGGTTAAAAGGAGCCAATGTGACATGCATTTTCAATATTTGTTTAATATTTAACCAACAATGCTAAAAAGTAGAGTATAATTTAAGTCTTTCTTGCTTGTTATTGAGAAAAACAATACAAAAACCCTTGAAATGAAAGTCATTTTGAAATGATATATAGAGGGAGTGGAAACATTGTGATACATATCAAATCCTGATGAATTGTTTACATACACTAAAAAAACAGTAGCACTAAAAATTATATTATGCAAGACAACCTCTTCAGCAGCTATGAAAACTATACCTACAGATAATATCTCGTGTAATTACTACAAAAAAAACCCACAATATCAGTTTAACATTTATAAAACTGTTACGGTTAGTATTGTCAATTTCCATACAATTTGCAAATTGATAGCTCTAATCGCAGCCATGTGTATTACAAAGATGTTTCCAAAATGGCACAGAATCTGTCAAAACTCAAATGCTTCATTCTTCTCATCATCTCATCTCACACCTGCAACTGAAAATATTGACAATGTATTGAGTTAAAGGTACATTTTAGTTAGTAATGAGAAAATAAAGTCACTGACAAACTTCAGAGTGAATTCAAAATCCTAAGATTTCCTTGAATAAACACTTTACTAATTGTATAATTTTGTCCCACAATCTCAAGATATAAAGCAAATACTTTGTACAATGTGAAATTATATTTTATTATTTTTTTCTTGAATTTTCAAAAACCATCAAGAGCCGAGTGAAGGAATTCAAGCTGTAGCATACACAAAGGGAGGTAATCCCTGTACTGAAAGGATTGAAACCTACTGGAAAATCAATTTTAATTTAGAATTACAAGAAGTCTTATGTCTTACTTAAAAACTAAATTGTCTCTCATTCATCATGCTGTTGGATTGGATTTCATTAGGTCTATATCACTCTTCACCATCTCTTCAACAAGCATCTGTGAAACGTAAATTGTAAAATGCAACACAGTGACAAAATAATAGATTTTATGATATCATTCAGATGAAAACCTAGTTGGATATGCATAACTTACTTTAAAAAATAATTCCTGAAACAGAGTCCATATTCACAGTTATAAAACTTATATAAAAGTTTGATAAAGAAACAGTTCTTATATTCATCACATGTGTACTTACATCAAATGAATACTTCGGCTGCCATTTTAGGTTTTCTTTCGCCTTTGAACAGTCTCCTTGAAGGAATTCCTGTAAAACAGAAAATACAGTATTTATCTTTTGTAATTTGTATCCTTATGCCAAAGATTATACAATCAACTTAAATAAACAGGAAATATTTAACAAAGGTCTGAATCAATGATACACATCTTTAGGGTTTAGGCTACTTCAACCATCATCAGGGACAGGGTTTAAAGGGGGGGGGGGGGGGGAAATTGCATAATAATCGGAGTTATTACAACCTTTATCCCATCTCTAGTTTTTTCCTATTTAGGTAACAGATATAATTACTGCTATTTTTTTTGGTCTTTGCAATTGATGTGCGAAAATTACAGACAAAATAGATAATACATGTTCCAGGATGTGCAGCATCATTACTTCCTAATTATTGCACACGATCATAATCCCATCACTTATAGAAGATATCTAAATCTGTAGTCTCTGTATTTCAGGATAGATCTACTTCTCTTCGACACTCCAGTGAAACTTGAGATTTGGACACATTAATTCAATCTTCATCAAGACCCACTTTACCTGTTACTGGAGATAACAAGGTGCTTTGCTAACGCGACAGCTATTTATTGGTGAAGACACTGATATTGTTTTCTATCAAAACTCTAAAACATTAGAAAGTCAGATCTTCCATTGAGTGTTATTGTGTTGCCATGGTGATGCAGACGTGTGTTTCCTGTAATGTTGTTTGTTCTCACAACATCAGTAATGGCTGGTCCAGACAATTACACTGCAGCAGTAATGGGGATTCTAGCAGGCCTAGTGATGAGAAGCATCCTAATACTGCACGTTCACACCATTAGCAATATGTTCGTATTCACTTTCATTGTCACGATCAAGGAAAACTATTGTTAGCTAGGTCAACCAGTGTTGTCCAGACTAGCCACTGATGTCCAGGCCAACCATTGCTACCTAGGGCAACCAATGGTGTCTAGGCCAACCAAAGTCATCAAGGACAACCAGTGGTGTCAAGGTCAAAAGTTGTGCTTCATAAAATTAATAAATTTTATAAGTACAAACATATTTTCCCTTAACTCCACATAATTTTGCATTTGATCTGCGAGAAACCATACCAGATTGAAGAAAATAGCAGAACAGGGAAAAACACATTGCTGACAGGAATTAAATGAAGGTCACAACCTTATAATCAATTATTATACTAGCTCAGCCAAAGAAGCAAGCTCATCAGCTGAGTGACATAGACCATATTTAACACCACGTACAAGCCACATCAACTTACTACCACTATATACAAACACAACTATGCTCATTTTTCTTGAGATTTCTTAAATTTCAGCCCACTCCTTCCCCACAAGACTCTTAGTGCCACACCCTGAGAGACTTCATTCTGGGTCTCCTGCATGATAATCCATGTCTCTATCAACTCTATCTGACTTTATATTTATATCAACACCTATATTCATAAAATTCTTGTATTAGTGGCCGTTGATATGACCATAATTCCCTAGTCAGTATCTGTGGATATCAGTATGATATCCACCGTTGGTGTCAATATGATTCCTACATCAGTCGTCGTTGATGTCAGTATGATTCCTACGTCAGTCGTCGTTGATGTCAGTATGATTCCTACGTCAGTCGTCGTTGATGTCAGTATGATTCCTACATCAGTCGTCATTGATTCCTGTCAGTCGCCGTTGTTGTCGGAATGATTCCTGTCAGTCGTCGTTGATGTCAGTATGATTCCTACATCAGTCGTCGTTGATTCCTGTCAGTTGTCGTTGTTGTTGGTATGATTCCTGTCAGTCGTCGTTGTTGTCGGTATGATTCCTGTCAGTCGTCGTTGATGTCGGTATGATTCCTGTCAGTCGCCGTTGTTGTCGGAATGATTCCTGTCAGTCGTCGTTGATGTCAGTATGATTCCTACGTCAGTCGTCGTTGTTGTCGGTATGATTCCTGTCAGTCGCCGTTGATGTCAGTATGATTCCTGTCAGTCGTCGTTGTTGTTGGTATGATTCCTGTCAGTCGCCGTTGTTGTTGGTATGATTCCTGTCAGTCGTCGTTGATGTCGGTATGATTCCTGTCAGTCGCCGTTGTTGTCGGTATGATTCCTGTCAGTCGTCGTTGATGTCGGTATGATTCCTGTCAGTCGCCGTTGTTGTCGGTATGATTCCTGTCAGTCGCCGTTGTTGTCGGTATGATTCCTGTCAGTCGTCGTTGTTGTCGGTATGATTCCTGTCAGTCGCCGTTGTTGTCGGTATGATTCCTGTCAGTCGCCGTTGTTGTCGGTATGATTCCTGTCAGTCTTCGTTGTTGTTCGTATGATTCCTGTCAGTCTTCGTTGTTGTTGGTATGATTCCTGTCAGTTGTCGTTGATGTCAGTATGATTCCTACATCAGTTGTCGTTGATGTCAGTATGATTCCTACATCAGTCGTCGTTGTTGTTGGTATGATTCCTGTCAGTCGCCGTTGTTGTTGGTATGATTCCTGTCAGTCGCCGTTGTTGTCGGTATGATTCCTGTCAGTCGCCGTTGTTGTCGGTATGATTCCTGTCAGTCGCCGTTGTTGTCGGAATGATTCCTGTCAGTCGTCGTTGATGTCAGTATCAGGTTTTCGAGTGTACAGGTTTCCTGTGTTACTAATCTACATGTGCCTCCACTTTGATCCTATATCCTGGGCGAGTCTTTTGAACCTCGAATGTACATCGAGAAAAGGACAAAGAAGGACACTAAAAATCGGGATTCTTTTACATATGGATAGTATTGAAACCAAAGGGAGATAGAAAGATAAGGAAAACTTTGGGCTGATAGTCAGTCTATGATCATTTGTAATGTAGGTTAAACTTGGAACTGCCGGTCTAAGATGTTTGGCATTATCTCCCAGGGAACACCATTAACTGAAATCTCAACATACCAATAGCATACAGTTTCACTTGGCAAACATTTCCTCTCCCTCTAGCCCTGTGCTATCAATTTTCACACAATTAGCTGCCAATTCTACATGGCTGGACATTCCTACCAGCATCAAATAATGCTTAGGAGATGTGTGAAATGTGATTCACATGTTTCTAATAACTTTGTAAATCCACAGACAGATCAATTAGCTTCATTAGGTCAGTGCCATGTACAATCTGATAAACCATCAACAGACTTGATTTCAGGCACAGATTATTTGCACACATTTACTTATTTGATGTCAGACAAACCACATTGTGTTTCATTTTCTGTTCAACATTTTACACAAATCTGTTCTTTCAAATATTTTTGTGTTTATAGCTAACCCTTTCAAAAAGGAGGGTAACAAATCAAAGAGTTTATGTTAATCATTTTTAATAACAAATATATATATGCTAGATAAACAGTCTTGTCTGTATAAGCCACAGGTCTGAAGTCTTGATATTTGATCCTGATGTAATCACATGCTAAGGCAAGTACTATCAAGTTTGCTCAAAAATTGACCTTGACCTATCTACTTATTGGTCAAAATATAATTATATGTTCAAACAAATGAAACATTTGTTTCCCTAAAATTTCCTAGGTGTAGAGTTGTTATAACTTGGGTGCAGCCATCAAAATTTATTTTCAAACAAAAGCATTGATAGTAGGTGCCTAAACCAAGGATATATTATGTAGTTCTAAATAAACCTATCTTTCTGTAAAACTGTAAAAACTCTATTTTTCAGAAATTTGAAAACAAACAAACAGCTTATGTTGATCATCCTCATTGTACTGAAATGTACAAGGACACTAGCTGAGGGAGAAAGCCAAAGTAACTGTGGAAAAAATCCATGCCATTTAGTAGGTGATTTCACAACTTTTCACTTCCTATTGGGAATCAAATCTGTTGCCACTGTGTAAGGCAAATGTATTACCACTGAAGCAATAAATCTTCCACCTTTCTAACATTCTAAGATATAAGTAGCATTAAAACTGATGAACGTTCCCCAAAAAGAACTTACCGGTAACTAGAAATAAAATTTTAACAAAAGGCAATAATTTGTTATTAAGGCATTGCAGACCTTTCCTTTGAAGTGTATCATTTCAGATCAAGAGCAAGCAAAGTTATGATCCAAACACAAAAATTTTACAAAAAGGCAATAATTCTATAATTAAGAGGTTGTCAGCCCTTAACTTCGGTAAACTGCACATTGTGTTAGTTTGACAATGTATACATCAAGTTTCATTATACCAGTATAAATGCAAGCAAAATCATGCTTCAGATAAGAGATTTTACAAAGGGCAAGAACTCTTTAATTGAGGGGTTGCAGGCCCTGACTTTAGTAAACTGCACATTGTTTTAGTATGACCAATAAGTACAGCAAGTTTCATTATCCAAATTGAAATGCAAGCAAAGTGAAGCTCCAGACAAGCAATTTTAATAAAGGGCAATAACTCTGTAATTAAAGAATTGTAGGATTAAAAATACTGAACATTGTCTCAGTGTGACAAATGTATTAACTAAGTTTCATGGACCTTGCCTAAATGTTGGCAAAATTATCCTCCCGACACGAAAAGATGGACTGAAAGACAGATGGAAAAAACGGCAACTCTAAACTTCCCCGAAAATTTTTGAAAATTTGTTTACCTCAGAGTTATGATATGGAAAATGTTTTGTAGGTGCTGTAATCACATTGCATGACCATCCCAGTGATATTTTCATATACCTGTAATTACCTTATAATTGGTCCTCATTATCTACATGTGAATTACAACCAATTATTGCCAATTCTTTCTGATGATTTTACATTTGTGCTCCAGATGGAATTGTTTTTCAAACATACAAAAAATTAAACTTAATCCTTTTAACATGTTATAAAACATCACTGATATAAGAGATGGAATCTTACCATTGGTGTAAAATAAAAATCACTCCAAAAATCTCACAAAGTCTACCCTTAAAATAATTGTTAAATACGATATATTATGTTTTTGAAATGATATCGTGTTTGTTGTATCCTTTCTGGATAGATATATTAATATTACTTAGATTCACAAGTGTTCTAAATAGCCAAGCTAGAAAATGACATTTCTAAAGCTTCGTTAGAAATAGGTGTTAAAATGTTTTACACTAGTCGTGATAATAGCCCGTGAAAAGAGAAGTGTTTTCGTGTGATATATCCCGTGGTAAATGAGTTGTGAAGACTAGAGTAAATAATCTCACTCCAGCAACATAGTCACAAAGCCTTCCCTATCATCTCAAATAAATATTTCCCACTGCGGACCAAACTCATTGGGAGGGTTGAGGCACCTGCAGACTTAAACTCCAGCATATTGTTCTAATGGATATAACAGAAGCCTTTCCCTCACATCTACCGGGTCCCGCTAAATGATTCCACAGACTGGTTTACTTCTGTCTAGGAACTAACTCTATTCTCTAGTACAGAAAGAATATGGTATACATGTATTATATATTACGACCGTCATGCTAAAGTTGCAGTATTTTGGTTTTGTGTTGATGTGTATGTGTTTTATTAATATTATAACTCAACAAACATCCTTAATGACAGTGTATACATCTGTATTTCTTCAGAGCATGTTTTCTGAAATGGATTTTTATTTCTTTAAAAAATGCTATTTTCATTTTGTTTTTTCACATTTTCAAAATACCAAGATTTTAAAATCAGGTTTATAGAAAAAAATTTAATAATTTCAATAAGCTGCTGTCAGTTCAACGGTTTTCTTTTTTTTAATTTTCAAACCACATATTAATAGATAAAAACTAGGCATTGTACAATACATCATTTTAATAGCAATGTAATGTCAAGGTTTTCGTGACTGAAACACTACATGTTTAAAATTCCTTTCGTGTGAGAAAAATTCAAGATATCTTTTTCAGGTATTTGTTTCATCGCTTTAACTCATGCATTTCAAGGAAATTTCTCCACAGCGCGCCAAGATCTTTCAAGCGTTCACCAGTCCCCGATTCACATGTCAAAAATATACATCACTCAGACTAGAGAAAAGTTAATCTACCAGTGACAGAGTGTGTGGAAACTGGTGGCAAAAAATGTAATGTCTGTCAAAAACCTGCTCCCATCATTACGCTCCAGCATACACTTGTATATTCTATCAACCTTTAAATTACACAAATCACACCTATTATGCTTGTTACATAACTTAACGGGAAACCCATCAACCAGCTGCTCCTGAGGACATCACACAACAACACCCTACTCCGTCCGACCCCTAACTAGCCAAGCTTCGCTATCCCAGATAAAGACATCTATCAGCCCCTACCAAACGTCTTGTCCAGGCTTCGTTTACATGCACTCTTGTCAACAAGTGCAAACAACTTGCTTTAAGCTTGTTTTTCCTTATTTTCTCGCTTGTTTTTCTTTGTTTTTTCCCTTTTCCTTCGTGTTGCTGATTAGTCTAACATCTCTGTCTGTTTTCCGTGTGCCACGCAATTTACGGCCGTTTTTTCAGTGTGTGATGCGATTTAAATGATCAAAGACTAACTCAGTTTTCACGCACAATCAGTGGCCTCAGAATTGGGTTGTATTTCATAATGACTGATAAACCATGTGTTTCAGGAGAACTAATTTTACCATGTTGGTTTTTTAAACCAATGATGACCCGTTAGAAAAACTAAAGAGATTCAGTCAAATATTGGCATTACCCACGATCACAAACGTTACATCTCTTTCATCAATTTATTATCCATCCTCTTGAATCATTAATCCTAATGATTGAAAACTGAAACACATTGTTCATAAAAACAAGTGACTTATAATATTGATTACAAATGGTAATCAATTGAAACAGTCTTCGGAGAAATTGATTTTTCGATATTATTTCGATAAGATAATCAATTTATCCCAAGCTTTTTGCCATTTTTAAATTGTACCATTATTTCCACCACCCCACAATTATCGTGTGGTATCCAGGCAAGGAATATAAGCAATAAACCCAACCTTTGTTAAAGTTACAAAGCCTTGGTTCTATCCTTAATATCTATAGAGAGACTTGATGCTAACAATGTCTATAACTTATGGTCAAGGGGAAGTAACTCCTCCAGAGCACCATCTCAGGTATGCTGAATTGCAAACCACATCAGTTTCGAGAATTGTTAAATACGGTATTTCTTGAACAATATCTGCATGAAACCACAGAAGGGCATTACCATACTTATCCTACAATCAGCCCGGGAGGGTAACAAATTAGCATTGTGTCATAAGGTGGGCATGTTGCTCAATAAATACTGTACCCACGGCCTTGTGTTCACCTTGTGTGAAATGTGACATATAAAAGACTATGACTTACCACTTCTGTAGGTCTGTAGTACTTAGGATTGATCCTTACTCTGACAACACCAGTTGCCTTGTCTTTGCCGACCTCTTCAACTCCATTGCCTTCCCATCTATAACACATGAACATCAAATATGATTTCTTTACACCTGGTAATGCCACCAGATCAGGACCTGTTGTCCAAACTTTGTTTTCAAAGATCATTTAGCTGTCAGAAAATATCCAGTGTCATGAAACTCTATATGTTAAAAGTTTCCCAATTTTTATCCTGCAATAAATCCATGGAGCAAATGCCTTACCACTTACTAGTATGGGGCAGGATTATCACAGGACCCAAGGGAGTCAACATATTACCACTTACTCAAAGTATGGGGCAGGATTATCAAAGGACCCAAGGGAGTCAACATATTACCACTTACTCAAAGTATGGGCAGGATTATCACAGGACCACAAGGGAGTCAACCCCAGGGAGACATATTACCACTTACTCAAAGTATGGGCAGGATTATCAAAGGACCCAAGGGAGTCAACATATTACCACTTACTCAAAGTATGGGCAGGATTATCAAAGGACCCAAGGGAGTCAACATATTACCACTTACTCAAAGTATGGGCAGGATTATCAAAGGACCCAAGGGAGTCAACATATTACCACTTACTCAAAGTATGGGGCAGGATTATCACAGGACCCAAGGGAGTCAACATATTACCACTTACTCAAAATATGGGGCAGGATTATCACAGGACCCCAGGGAGTCAACACAAAACCACTTACTCAAAGTATGGGGCAGGATTACTACAGGACCCCAGGGAGTCAACACAAAACCACTTACTCAAAGTATGGGGCAGGATTACTACAGGACCCCAGGGAGTCAACACAAAACCACTTACTCAAAGTATGGGGCAGGATTACTACAGGACCCCAGGGAGTCAACACAAAACCACTTACTCAAAGTATGGGGCAGGATTACTACAGGACCCCAGGGAGTCAACACAAAACCACTTACTCAAAGTATGGGGCAGGATTACTACAGGACCCCAGGGAGTCAACACAAAACCACTTACTCAAAGTATGGGGCAGGATTACTACAGGACCCCAGGGAGTCAACACAAAACCACTTACTCAAAGTATGGGGCAGGATTACTACAGGACCCCAGGGAGTCAACACAAAACCACTTACTTAAAGTATGGGGCAGGATTACTACAGGACCCCAGGGAGTCAACACAAAACCACTTACTCAAAGTATGGGGCAGGATTACTACAGGACCCCAGGGAGTCAACACAAAACCACTTACTCAAAGTATGGGGCAGGATTACTACAGGACCCCAGGGAGTCAACACAAAACCACTTACTCAAAGTATGGGGCAGGATTACTACAGGACCCCAGGGAGTCAACACAAAACCACTTACTCAAAGTATGGGGCAGGATTACTACAGGACCCCAGGGAGTCAACACAAAACCACTTACTCAAAGTATGGGGCAGGATTACTACAGGACCCCAGGGAGTCAACACAAAACCACTTACTCAAAGTATGGGGCAGGATTACTACAGGACCCCAGGGAGTCAACACAAAACCACTTACTCAAAGTATGGGGCAGGATTACTACAGGACCCCAGGGAGTCAACACAAAACCACTTACTTAAAGTATGGGGCAGGATTACTACAGGACCCCAGGGAGTCAACACAAAACCACTTACTCAAAGTATGGAGTCAACACAAAACCACTTACTCAAAGTATGGGGCAGGATTACTACAGGACCCCAGGGAGTCAACACAAAACCACTTACTTAAAGTATGGGGCAGGATTACTACAGGACCCCAGGGAGTCAACACAAAACCACTTACTCAAAGTATGGGGCAGGATTATCACAGGACCCAAGGTTTATTTTTTGTTGGTTTTTTAATTCACACAAATAGTTCATTCTGTACAACTTATAACAACACAAACCTGTTATGACACAATCAGGGCTATATGAATGTTTGTAAATCAATCTTGCTAGATCAAGAATTTCAGCAAATTAAATATCATATGTTTATTTAAATGGTAAACTGAGATGTACAAGTTTTGTAAGACCATATAAGGAGATGCTTTAGTGCATTTTTCTTCAAAACCATCCTACGAATTCCAAACATGTGTGCCATACCCCTTCAGCATCGCATCAAAGATGGCGAAGCTTATGACAGTGTAAAACATAGACATATCTAAGCAGATGCTATACTGTATATATGATGGTTTACATTGGCACACTCAATTAAATCATCAATGAATTCAATATGTGTGGAACTCTTTTACAAAAAAGATGCATAACATGTGACAATGAAAAGGTAACATACCTCTTTAATATCTACTCTTAGCCTAAAACACTCTTTGCAAGAATAATGAACAAAGCAGTATGACAGATAAATTTATTTACCATTTAAAAGTCAGCATTTTAAGCTCCGAATTCATATTTTCAAATTTTTGATAAAAATTTAATATAAAACACATCAATGAATTCCATATGAAAACCACCTGTCTTAATATTTGGTTATACATCCCCTGAGAAAACCAGGAAACTTTGTTTATTTTCCCATAACATTTTTTCTGTTTTAATAAAATGTTGCCTGTTTATTGTGAAACAGGGGTCACATCACACTAAATAACTACACACATGAGTCTATAGCCTCGCGATCTACTGCCACAACTCGGTCTCAAATTTCCCAGGACTTTGTAATATAGCTTTCAGATATGTATACTTATTGATACAACCAACTGTGTGTTATTCATATGACTGTATAAGCATGAGGCCTTCTTTTTTAATCACTGCAATAAATTAAGCCAATCTCTGTGAGGTCCCAGAATTTGAAAACATTTGATATCCATTGATACCTTATTAAAGACATCCATTATTGCGGCCATTTGCTTCATATATGTAAACATTTAAAACCTTTTTGGATTTTTTTTTTATTATGAAATAGTGATTTATTCATAACACTTTATAAACTTTTTGAAACTTTTTTTTTAATCTTGAAAATGTCTGTTCTTTTTCAAACAATAAATCAAATTGACATGGATTTAATAAATTCAAATCTGTACTTTGACAATGATTTATCATGTGTATATCTTGTATGGAAATGTTACCTGCCCAGTAATACAAATCCACAAGCAAAAGGTTTTATTTGAATTTTCTGTTTAAACAACCATCAATGATTAACACGTATTACATTATGAAGCATAATTTCAATTCATTAAAATGAAGTATGTTACCTAGATAAACATTTCATCAACTTAAATCAATTAGGAAAATTCCAAAAGTTACTTGGGTTAATATGTATGACAATTTCAGTAACCTAACATTCTTAGGAAATATTCCAGAATTTTTTTTTGAGAATTTTCAACAACTAAACTAAAGTTACCCATAATTTCCTGGGAACTTTTTTGATACTTACCTAAATGTTACCCAAAATTTCCTGAGAACTTTTTTGATATTTACCTAAATGTTACCCAAAATTTCCTGAGAACTTTTTTGATATTTACCTAAATGTTACCCAAAATTTCCTGATAATTTTCTACAATTTACCTGATGTTACCCAAAATTTCCTGAGAATTTTCTACAATTTACCTGATGTTACCCAAAATTTCCTGATAATTTTCTACAATTTACCTGATGTTACCCAAAATTTCCTGAGAATTTTCTACAATTTACCTATGAATTCTATCATTTACCTTAGAATTTTCCCGAAAATAGCTAATCTTGTAATGACATACAACTAATCAAGTGAACATTTTCTACAATTTCCACAGCTTTCACAAATATTACATCATTAATTAATAGTATTTTTCAAGCCCTTAAAAAAAAATAAAACTACGATTTCACAAATAAATTAATCATATTCCAAGTGCTAAAAAAATATTTCGGAATGGAAAAGTAAGAGCATTCCACTGTAAATTGCAAAATGCAGCAAATCACCTTCTAAAACTTACCCAATTTCGATACCTATCACTTTGAATGCCTTTTCTACAAACTCCCGTACGCTGTGACTTTCTCCAGTTGATATCACAAAGTCTTCTGGTTTTTCTTGTTGAAGCATTAACCACATAGCCTAAAACAGACAAAATATTGAACATTTACCGACACGTTTTGTCTGTAATTAATCACAAACTCTAAAATATACAAAATAATGATGAAATTTATTTTCTTGTTTTTAGTAAAGATATGGTTTTTTATATCAAGATTGGCTTATTTCCAAGGTCGTCATAATTTCAAGAAGTTTTGGATATTGTCTGTGATTTTTTCAAAAGACTGTTACCATATGAACTATATAACTTGTAATGTCCCATTTCGTCATTGAAAGCATCTATTTTTTTCCTGCAATAACTTCATGGCTGAATTTTGAAATCAGTTTATTTTCAAAACAGCAATAATTTATGGCTTAAATTCATAGCTTATTTTTCAAACTGGCCAAATTCTCAGGCTCAGTTTCAACACTGGTTTGTTATAGGATTTTAGAGTATTTTTCAAATTTAACAATAAACAAAAAAATCACAACACAATGAAAGGAACATGTAGAGAAAACCTTATAGTAAATCAGTTCACCTTTTTAGCCTCAATTTTCATACAACTGTCTTAAAGTTTCATATACATGAAGCCTATTCACACTGAACACATATTTTCTTTTTTATCACCTTTTTCATATGAAAGTTGTTTAAACAGAAAAAAATCACTTTATACGGTAAAGGAATGGACGATCTTCTTTTATTTGAAATATATATTATCTCATTATCTCTCACTTTAAACCAACATATCTTAATTCTACTGACTATCAATTCATAATACTGACTTGGTAAACAATTCTGCAATGATCAAACTCTGCATATTCCATCATTTATACAGTAAGATATGCCATCATTTCATCTGACAATCAGATTTTTCACAGCAAAGTGAAAGAATTGTTAAAACAATTCAATAGTATAGTTACTTTGCTGTACAGAATATGTTATTTTTCTGTTGTTCATGTTTGTTTCAATTTCTCAACACAAAAAAACTAAATCATAAAATTTGCAATTAAAAAAAAAAAAAAGAAAGAAAAAAGGAAGAAATTAAAATTGAATGCCTTTATTTTTCTTCTCTTTTAAAATTATTCTGATGAAAGGTGCATCACAAGGATTAATTTTGAGTGACCCTTCTGCACTCATTATCACTAGATTGATCTGTATAAATATGGGTCAACCCAAATGTGTTGGTGATGACACAATCAGAAACAGGGTCAATTAACTGGAAGTTAACTTAAAGATCAACACATCTATCAATACTGAGTCATCTTCTCTAGACAACGTACAATGAAAATTTCCCAAAGCTACTTATGTAGTCAAAATTTCAAAATATTGATTTAAGGATTGAAGAAAGTTCAAATATTTATAAGTATCATTTTTTCTTTTTCTTTTCTTTTTACATACATTCTAGGCACTTGAAAAAAGAAATTCTTTTCGCTTCTAAGACTGAAGCATCAACTTGAAGTTCTGGTCGAGTGATTAAGTTCGCCGAAAATTTATTATGATAGAATTGATATCGGATTGGATAAAGTTTTGTCTTCAACACCAATTAACTGACTTAATATTCCACTTCAATCAATTACTTATTGCAAGTCAACCGTAACGAAAATATCTTCTTCTGTTTGTGATGAAAAATTGCAGATTGCAAGAATTATGTATGGCTTAGGAGGACAGCTGGATCTTGTATACAGTACGTATGCACTCCAATTATCATGGGAAATTAGAAATGAATAACTAGCTCTATCGCATTTTTTTATAAAATGATTTCCTAAAAAAGACTGCAAATATTAAACAAGTTTTTATTTTTCTTAATAAACATTAAATAAATTGGAAAAATAAAAAATATCAACAACTGCAGAGTAAGCACAATATTTTCTTTAAATAATTAAGCAGAGATTGCAGCTACAAACCTCAAATTTAAATACCGTGTAAAATCCATTTAATCCAGAAGAAACAAATTCAACGTATGATATAAATATTATCCCATTATGAAAGAAAAACTTTGGTGACACTATTTGAATCTGAAATTCCTCAGAAATTGTAACATATTGGCTTCATCTATTATTCACTACATATTTCTTTTAGAAATATCATTATTCCCTTGATTTGCCTGTTCACCACGTAAATTGAACAAGACCTGGAAAACTGTGTGTCTCAGATTTTCTCTTGCTTTATATACTCTCTTTCAATGTTTATTTATGAAAAAAAATAATAACTTGATTCTGTTCTGTACTGGTAAGGATAACAAGGATAAAAACGTGTCTATTGTTGGTGTAGCTTGTAGGGTGTTTGGGTTGAGGGGAGACTGTTTTGTATGTAAATGCTACTGTGTATGGAATAATGTTTACTTTGAAAGGGTGACAATGTTTATTCTAATAATAACCTGTGCAGGATCTGTATCACAGAAACTGAAGAAGGAGAAAAAAAATTAGACACCATCCCATCCTAAGTCTGTGTTCACTGCCTTGTAAAAATCACAAGACTGTTGTTGCAAGTTATTAAATTCAAATCTCCACGGTTACATGACATGCTAGTCTTCTAAAATCTGATTGGTCTGTAAACACAAGAATGTGAGATAAGCTGATTTGGAAAACACTGACAATCGTTTTTTCTGTACAATGCAATATTTTTGTAACATATCTGCTTAAACCTGTTGTTGTAGCGAGACTGTTTTTCTCAGGTTGTCTCCAACCTTATACTTTTGTATAAAAAGGCAAGGATTAAATGTCTTCCCTGAAGCATAACACAATTCTTATAATTATGCTATTAATTTCAGTTCCAATAACAATAAATCAGTGATGCATGAAACTCTATCTTTATATGCTAAATAAAGAATGGTTTCGCTACTTTCAATATCAATTACATGTGCCTGAAATAAGCCCAAACAATAGTCAAATCATCACCCTAATAAAGTCTGATAAATATTTACATAAGATAAAATATAATTGTAAATATAACAACATTTCATGACAACACCAGTAATATAAAGATATTTAATGACAGACAGTGTTAGTCTATAAATGGTACAATGTACCAGTAAAATAAAGACATTTAATGACAGACAGTGTTAGTCTACGAATGGTACAATGTACCAGTAATATAAAGACATTTAATGACAGACAGTGTTAGTCTATAAATGGTAGACTACAATATACCAGTAATATAAAGATATTTAATGACAGACGGTGTTAGTCTATCAATGGTACAATGTACCAGTAATATAAAGATATTCAATGACAGACAGTGTTAGTCTATGAATGGTACAATGTACCAGTAAAATAAAGATATTTAATGACAGACAGTGTTAGTCTACGAATGGTACAATGTACCAGTAATATAAAGACATTTAATGACAGACAGTGTTAGTCTATGAATGGTACAATGTACCAGTAATATAAAGACATTTAATGACAGACAGTGTTAGTCTATGAATGGTAGACTACAATATACCAGTAATATAAAGATATTTAATGACAGACAGTGTTAGTCTATGAATGGTACAATGTACCAGTAAAACAAAGATATTTAATGACAGACAGTGTTAGTCTATAAATGGTAGACTACAATATACCAGTAATATAAAGATATTTAATGACAGACGGTGTTAGTCTATAAATGGTACAATGTACCAGTAATATAAAGATATTTAATGACAGACAGTGTTAGTCTATAAATGGTAGACTACAATATACCAGTAATATAAAGACATTTAATGACAGACAGTGTTAGTCTATGAATGGTACAATGTACCAGTAAAACAAAGATATTTAATGACAGACAGTGTTAGTCTATAAATGGTAGACTACAATATACCAGTAATATAAAGATATTTAATGACAGACAGTGTTAGTCTATAAATGGTAGACTACAATGTACCAGTAATAAAGATATTTAATGACAGACAGTGTTAGTCTATAAATGGTAGACCACAATATACCAGTAATATAAAGACATTTAATGACAGACAGTGTTAGTCTATGAATGGTACAATGTACCAGTAAAATAAAGATATTTAATGACAGACAGTGTTAGTCTATAAATGGTACAATGTACCAGTAATAGAAAGATATTTAATGACAGACAGTGTTAGTCTATAAATGGTACAATGTACCAGTAATATAAAGATATTTAATGACAGACAGTGTTAGTCTATAAATGGTACAATGTACCAGTAATATAAAGATATTTAATGACAGACGGTGTTAGTCTATGAATGGTAGACTACAATATACCAGTAATATAAAGATATTTAATGACAGACGGTGTTAGTCTATGAATGGTAGACTACAATATACCAGTAATATAAAGATATTTAATGACAGACAGTGTTAGTCTATAAATGGTACAATGTACCAGTAATATAAAGATATTCAATGACAGACAGTGTTAGTCTATAAATGGTAGACTACAATATACCAGTAATATAAAGATATTTAATGACAGACGGTGTTAGTCTATAAATGGTACAATGTACCAGTAATATAAAGACATTTAATGACAGACAGTGTTAGTCTATGAATGGTACAATGTACCAGTAAAATAAAGATATTTAATGACAGACGGTGTTAGTCTATAAATGGTACAATGTACCAGTAAAACAAAGATATTTAATGACAGACAGTGTTAGTCTATAAATGGTACAATATACCAGTAATATAAAGATATTTAATGACAGACAGTGTTAGTCTATAAATGGTAGACTACAATGTACCAGTAATAAAGATATTCAATGACAGACAGTGTTAGTCTATAAATGGTAGACTACAATGTACCAGTAATAAAGATATTCAATGACAGACAGTGTTAGTCTATAAATGGTAGACTACAATGTACCAGTAATAAAGATATTTAATGACAGACGGTGTTAGTCTATAAATGGTACAATATACCAGTAATATAAAGATATTTAATGACAGACAGTGTTAGTCAATATACCAATGTACCAGTAATATAAAGACATTTAATGACAGACAGTGTTAGTCTACGAATGGTACAATGTACCAGTAATATAAAGACATTTAATGACAGACAGTGTTAGTCTATGAATGGTACAATGTACCAGTAAAACAAAGATATTTAATGACAGACAGTGTTAAACTATAAATGGTAGACTACAATATACCAGTAATATAAAGATATTTAATGACAGACAGTGTTAGTCTATAAATGGTAGACTACAATATACCAGTAAAACAAAGATATTTAATGACAGACAGTGTTAGTCTATAAATGGTAGACTACAATATACCAGTAATATAAAGATATTTAATGACAGACGGTGTTAGTCTATAAATGGTACAATATACCAGTAAAATAAAGATATTTAATGACAGACGGTGTTAGTCTATAAATGGTACAATGTACCAGTAATATAAAGATATTTAATGACAGACAGTGTTAGTCTATAAATGGTAGACTACAATATACCAGTAATATAAAGATATTTAATGACAGACGGTGTTAGTCTATAAATGGTACAATGTACCAGTAAAACAAAGATATTTAATGACAGACAGTGTTAGTCTATGAATGGTAGACTACAATATACCAGTAATATAAAGATATTTAATGACAGACGGTGTTAGTCTATAAATGGTAGACTACAATATACCAGTAATATAAAGATATTTAATGACAGACAGTGTTAGTCTATAAATGGTAGACTACAATATACCAGTAATATAAAGATATTTAATGACAGACAGTGTTAGTCTATAAATGGTACAATGTACCAGTAATATAAAGACATTTAATGACAGACGGTGTTAGTCTATAAATGGTAGACTACAATATACCAGTAATATAAAGATATTTAATGACAGACAGTGTTAGTCTATAAATGGTACAATGTACCAGTAATATAAAGATATTTAATGACAGACAGTGTTAGTCTATAAATGGTAGACTACAATGTACCAGTAAAAATGAGGAAGAACACTTGGCTCTATCAAGCTGATGTTGAATCAGTAAACACTGGACGAACTCAAGATAATTATCAAAAACACTTCACACAGAAATATGACAAACAAAAATGTTCTCTACAAACACTTCCAGGAAATATGACAAATGCCAACTAATCCTTGAAGATATGCATAGTAATCTTTTTAGTACCCTGGAGTCTGTAGCAGAAGGATGCTCAACTTTCAATGGAAGGACTATTTTTCAAATCCAAACTATAAATCTGACGACAGAAGTGTATTTATGATAATTTTACGATATCTACCTGATAGCTGATTCATAAGAAAAAAAATACAACACAAAAATCTGAAAATATAAAAATTCTAAAACGAAAATTGATAAATATTCATTATAACATGTCAGTAATATGTTGGTAAAGTTAACGAGACTTTGAACACCTGTACAACCACGTAAGTACGTAGAAAAGGTGAGGAGGAAGCTGATCTGGAGCCTGAGAGAGAAAGATCGGCTTACCTCAACATAATCCTTAGCGTGGCCCCAATCTCTCTTCGAGTCGAGGTTTCCGAGCTGAATTTCTTCCTGCTGACCAAGCTTAATTTTGGCCACAGCTCTTGTTACTTTACGTGTCACAAATGTTTCACCTGAAACAAAAATAAAACATTTTTCATTGGTTATGCCAGTCAGACAACAATAGCAATGTTATAAAATGGACAATGACGATACATCATGAATTGAAGATGGCGCAACTAAACAGCTGCATCCATTTCATTTTACCCCCAACATTTTCACTTTAAAACCTGTCAAAATGTAACTTTCCTGGGTTACATGATAGAATGTATTTCAGATTTGTTTTCATTTTCTTCGAGATTTTCTGAAACACACCTCAAAGTCTTAATTTTTGTTCATAAAAAGTCACAAAAATAAAATCTTTAATCCTTGTTGCCTAAAAGTTTTCATATAAAATGAAACTCAGTTGAGATCCAATGAATAACAAGCTGACACCAATTTTACATTGATCTTGATATGTAATTTTCACACACACACAGCAATTAAAAGCAAATACTTTCCATTAGAAATTACTGTGTGAAGCTTGAGAACAATTGGCCGACAGAACCTCGGGATATTGTTGAAGATCAAACTTCAAATCATAGTACATGTAACGGTAAACTTAATCTTGTCTTTAGCCTTTTTAATTTAACTATAGCCAACAAAAACATAAAAAGATGAGAGGGAACTAAATAAACGCCCTGCAGGACACAATCGTATGGACACTTTGTATCTCAGTGCAAAATGAAAACAATTTTACAATGAAAAGCATCCCATCCTAGGAGCCATCATATTGCTTTTGTCTTCACACTACATTGTTCCAGTCAATGATACATGTATATTTATAGTTTGAAGCCTTATTGTACATCTCTTACAACATTCTGTCTATAGATTTTACACACCAAAATTTGTACAATTTTTTACATTCTACAAATTTTACAAGTTCAGATTTCAGGTTCATTTTGGGAAGGAAATAAATGAAAGAGAAAAAATTTCAGAACCCAGAGTAGATTTCAAATTTTGGGACTTGGCTTAAATTTCAATTGGGAACGGGGCCCCATTTTTGGCCCCTTTTTTGGCCCCATATAGCCCTAAATAGAAGCTCTGGATTTGTACAGTTTTCTTCGACACTGGAAGAGTTTTATAACACTGACTGTACACAATTTATTTCTTATGTTTACAGCAGTATAGCATTGGATGTTCAAAAGTTCTATAATCCTTATGAGCTTTGATAATCTGTACAATTATTGCCAAGTTCTATAATCCTTATGAGCTTTGATAATCTGTACAATTATTGCCAAGTTCTATAATCCTTATGAGATTTCATAATTTGTACAATTATTACCAAGTTCTATAATCCTTATGAGCTTTCATAATCTGTGCAATTATTACCAAGTTCTATAATCCTTATGAGCTTTCATAATCTGTACAATTATTGCCAAGTTCTATAATCCTTATGAGCTTTCATAATTTGTACAATTATTACCAAGTTCTATAATCCTTATGAGCTTTCATAATCTGTACAATTATAACCATACATTAAAGTTCTACATCAATATACAAATGTTTCAGACAATTTCATACAAAAGACAAATTAATCAACTGCACAGAAAAAAAAACCAAAATAATTCCACATCCCCTGAAATCTTTCACTGGGATCATTTCTGACATATTTCACATATTAGTCATGATTTAAAAAAAAATTTTTTACACCATATTATTTTGTAATTTCTAATCAACATTTCTCACTCCACCCAAATCCGATCCCTTCTATCTCTCGAAAAGTACAGAAGCCATCATGACAACTTAGTAGGTTATCAAAGTGACCTTTGACCTCTCTTAATAAAGACTTGACAATGTATAGCATTGGATTTTGTCACAGAAATTATGTCTCAATCATTGCTTGTTACTGACTGACAGAGATTCGTCGAGCTCTAACACATAGACCTGCGGTATTATTACCGCGGTTGTTATTGCGCTGTCAGAACCGTCAACACACCCAAGGCTCTAACACCCTTGCTGTGTACTCACATCACCAATCATCAATACCTTGTTTTTCTAAGCCGACAAGTAGCAGGAAATCGCTGTAGAGCTGTGCCTGATCGGGATACCAAACACTCTATAACATATTAGGCAATGTCTCCAAACACATATCAAAGATACAGTCTTTTGTACAAAGGCTTGCTTAAGTGGGTGAGAGGACCAGTATCAAAGACACAAAGCCTTTTGTACAAAGGTACGTAGGAGTGGGGCAACAAAACCAATATCAAAGACACAGTTTTTGTACAAAGGCTTGCTTAAGTGGGTGAAGGACCAGTATCAAAAGACACATAGTCTTTTGTACAAAGGTACGTAGGAGTTGGGCAAAGAGACAAATATCAAAGACACAGTTTTTGTACCAATATGCTTGAGTGAGTGAAGGGATTAGTTTCAAGAACATCTATTGTCTTTTGTACAAATTATGATGGAGCCGGCAACAGAAAAAGATTTTTGTACGAAAGCACATTACTTCTTTTGTACTACGTAAGCTCGAGAGGATGGCAGAACAACAATAACATACAAACAGTCTCTTGTATACAAGGACATGCTGAAGCAGAGCAAAGGGACTAGTAAATTAATTAATACAATACAAAACTTTAAATTAAATTAAATACACTATAATACACTGATATATTTAATGGACAAAATGGAATCAGGGCACAAGTTGTACACTGAAGTATAATTATATACATATTATCAAAATTATATATATATGTCAATCTTTGATGCCTAAATGCTCAACAATGATAAGAATATCATTGATTCGGTGTTCCTAAATGCAGAATATTTATCTCGCCTACACATGCATTCATGACCTGAGTCTTGACACAGATTGAGCAAATTAATTGGAAATATTACAAATTATTAATTTCTTTGGCCTTCTGGTTCAACGAATTCCTCTGAGCTAGCTGGTATTTTGTGACAAAAACTACACACTCAGCAAATCAGGGGTAAAAAGTCAAACACAACACAACTGAATCTATAAAAACCTAATATGGCTCGGATTGTCCAGAAAGTGATCAGTGACAGATGAGATTCCCAAAGAAAACAGAGTTTGTCAAGTAGATAAACATTCCAATGTGGCTGTACAATGGGGACAAAAAATGACAGCCCAGATGGAGAAATGAAAACCAATTACAGCAATCAGTAATTCACGGCCACAACTTGTCACAGACGACAAGGAGATCATCATACTAATAGTGTCAGGTGGACACAGTGACCAGAGGTCAAGCGTCTGTTTCATGTTTCAGTGGTCACTTTAAGACAGGTGATAACATCCAGGAGTTAAATCAACAGAATTGATTCTTGAAATCAATCTTCCTTTTCTGTACTAAGTAAAGCCCTTACTACTTATCCCTCTTTATACATCAACACTTGATAATGAGTTGACGAGGTTTCAAGGCGATCAAAATATAATTCATTATGATGAAAGTTACAACTTGAATACCAAATTTGACAAAATATTTTGTCCTTTTTTTCAACATTTTGATAAAATATTTTGTCCTTTATTTAACATTTTCTAAAATTTCATTAATTGATCTTTTTGCTATAAAAATATATACATAATGTTAAATATGTACTTATGCTTTGGCATGTCAACAACGCCAATTTTTCTAATTTACAGGATATATCTACATAATAAAAGGATTTCCAATCAACATTTTTAAGAATGGCTGAGAAAACAAAGAGAGTTCCTATGAACAAACAGTCAACATGTTTCGACCACGATTTATACAAATAATTACATTATTTTAAACAGGGCTGAATAACATTAAAAAACACATTAAATGATAAGTTTAATTCATTATTGATTTATATTTTGAAATCTGACCTGGATATATTGTTAATAGTTGGTGATTACGGTACATGTAATGAGGTTTCGTTACAATCACATGTAGGGGAAGGATACCTGAATATGCAGGGAGTTCATAATGGGTGCAGTTTTCCATCAATACCATCAATATTCTACAAAATTATTATTTTTTGTGGGGAATTATTGTTGTTAATTTCTCATCATCATTTCATCAATGAATTTAGATTAATGAGATAAAATTTCCTTAAAATAGTGATATTTTGATAAATCATGAAAATTTTATCCCCACAAAAATAACACAATTTTACAGTATGATGAGTGCATGCAACTTATAAAAAGCTTACCTCTCCTGGGACTTTCGTGGTTGAAAAGGATTCCATTACATGCATACATGTCATATGCCTCCCTGTAGTTCACAACTATCCAGTAGGCGTACACCTTAGCCACACCTACAAAGGGCAAGGTCACAAGACAGGGTTACGGTCAAATAATTTCTTTTTGCTCCCCGTTAATCACAGGTTGCCAAATATACTTCGCATATATTTTTTTTGTTCCTAAATTAGCAACAATGAATCTTAAATTGAAAATTATCATAAACTTGAAATTTAACAGCACATTCTGAAAATTCTAAAGTCATTATTCAATTGCTCATTAAATTTCCTGTAAACATCATAAGTTAACAGCTAGCACTACAACCCTAAAAGTAGGTTTTCACAAGAATTAGCTAATTTACTTACTTATAAAGTAGATTTAGCAAACATTGAATTTTTTCATCATCAAGACAATAATTTTTCCATGAATGCTCAGTATTTGTATTTACCATACGGGGATCGTGGATAAAATGGCGTGGTCTCTTTCTGCGGGATTTCCTGAACTTTGCCGAACATTTCGCTGGTGGATGCTTGGTAGAACTTGACATTCTCGGGTAGAAGTTTCTTACAAGTACGCATGGCATCTAGTAACCGAAGAGTTCCCACAGCGTCAACGTTAGCGGTGTACTCAGCAAGTTCAAATGACACCTAAAGAAAAAACACCATTTAAAGGTCATAATCAAAAACCAATCTGTTTACACTTATACATACAAACAAACAACAAATGCTTATTTTGTTATTCTGTTTTATCCAGATTTTGTTTAGAAAATAAACACTGCAGTGCAAATATGTAAAATATGTTTTGCATACCCCGTTGTTTTTAAATGTAATTAAAATTTTCAAGTTGTAAAGAAATTATGTATACACATAAAATGAGAGGGAACAAAAGTCGAATAATTAAATATTCTGTCCCTTCTATATCTAAATATTTTCCATAAAAATTTTTATGCACAGAGTTAAATTTCGACTATTAGTTTTCACATATAACAATGAATATTAACCAAAAAAGAGACATATTGTGTTATAAATGTCTCTGACCGAAACAATTGCTTTTTTTAATCCAATCAGAAATGAAAAAAAAAAAAGACTTAAAGTGTATATTCTTTCAACCAAATATTTTCAACCCTGTATCAACTTGATTATTGGTGTCAAAAAGTAATTAAGTTTTAACAAATTCCTTTCAAAGCAAAAAAAAAAAAAATGCAATTCACCACATAATCTGAACTAATTTGTATTAGTTACACCTAGAAACAAAGAGCAGGTTAAAGAAATGGATATCAGATGAAATCGGACAGTTTTAGCGATCTCACTTAGTGTTTTACTGAAGGGGAAGCCATGTAACGAGTCTGCTTCAGACCAAATCTTCCATTACGTGTTTGAATGCAGCAATTTGAGGGAAGAAAACTGCCTAGTGATGAGGACAGTTGTGTAAACATTGAGACTGATGGTTAATCAGCAGACTGACAGTAGAAGTGACACCCAGAACCCACTCTATTATCTCTCATTCTCACTACCAGTGGGATATCACTTCTTCTGTTATAGATACCCTACAGCAGTGTCCCAAAGTCTCCCCGCTACCACAAAGGGAAAGGGCCAACACGGCCCCTACAGCTATGGTATCATACCAAAGTTAATTTGAATACATAATGTAACTCATTGACAGTATGATAGTTATCTTGGCCAGTAAGAGAATCACAGTGGGAGACAGGACAGCAGTATTTAAACCTATTAATTAAGAATTTCATTCACTAGTTTCATATCTCACCAATGTATATAGATAAATTTACTGTGATAAGCAGACTATTTTTATAACATTGAGAATCTGCACTGATCTTGTACAAAAATATAATCTTTTATTAATCCTAGTTATTTCTGATTTTCAGTAGCTCACTCGCTAGCAGATGTCTAGATTAAGATTGAATAGTATTTCAAATGACCCCCTCAGCACACTGGGATGGACGCTGTTCAAACTAGCCCCAGTAGAATCAATATCTTTCTGTGTATACTATATGTATAATGAGGACAATGAATAGAACATCCAGATTCTGCTGTCCTCACAAAGGACTTTCTTTTCTTCTCTTGTGATCTTCCTCAGCACCAGTCCACATTTGAAACACATCGTCTGATAACCAGAAACAACTCCAGGCATTTGCTTAAACTCTCTTGTCACTGCAGGATACATATCTGGCCACTAGCAACTGTCATTGAGAAACAAGTATTTGGTCACCGAGTCCAAAACTGTCTGGTGACTGGGTGACAACTTTCTAGTCACTGGGCAACAAGTGTCTGGTCACAGGGTAATAATAACTATTTAGTCACCGAGTGACAACTGTTTGGTCACTGAGAACAGCTGTCTGGTGACTTGGTAACAACTGTCTAGTCACAGGGCAACATATATCTGGAGACTTGGAAACAATTATCTGGTCACTGGGCAAAAACTGTTTGGTTACTGGATAACATATAAGTGGACACTTGGAAACAATTGTCTGGTCACTGGGCCAAAACTGTTTGGTTACTGGGCAACATATAAGTGGACACTTGAAAACAATTGTCTGGTCACTGGGCAATAACTGTCTACTCACTGGGCTTATCTTCTAATTTCTAGAAACATGACATAATATTTTTAATCCTTGATCCCCATAAGCAAAACCTCAATATCTGTATAAGGTAAAACACTTCAGGTAAAATGGTGGTGCAAGCTGTTTCATAACCTTTAGATTTGTCAATACAAGGAAATAAAGTTGTCAACGTAGGCAATACAAGCTGGTGTGCAATGACAATTTGTCATACACAAAAGGAAATCCATCAATAAAGGGATTTACCAGACATACAAAAGTACGACTGTTTTTAATGTTGGTCGATTATAAGGACCATATGTTGCCTACAGTATCATATAGTATGATTCACAACAGCGTAAATAGTGTTTTATGTTTGTTCAAAGGTTTCAAAGTACCATTTACAACAAATTATACTTCTCAGTTGTATGTTCCTACAAAGCTTATCCATGTTTAAACACAAGTAATCCTCACTTATCCAAACAGAACACATTGTCATAAGCTTGATGGTTAAAGGGAGATAACTCATACATATACATAAAAAAAATGGAAATTTGCCTTTGTATTTTTTCCCCATTTTTAATAACAACAATTGTAACTTTATCTGTAGTAAAAACTAGTAAATACTTCTTTTATATTCTATCATCGAAGAGTTTAAACAGTCTCTCCGAATTCTTTATAATCACAAAGAGTTCACAAAACTTTAAATTAGGAAATATTTCAATCAAATGTCCTCAGGTGGTTGAGGATGAGGTATCATATCCTGTAGAACATGGAAAGCGTGTCTTTAAGTCAAAGGTTTGGACAAAAGTTTTGTAAGAGATAGATCATTATCTCTGGGTGATATAAAAAATAAATTTGATAACCATACTGAGATTTGGAATGGAGACCAAGAGTAAATTTGAGTTTTATACCCATTAATACCACTTGCATATTACATGATAATTGTTAAAAAGCTGATTGGATAAGATCCATAGACATGTAGTGACAGTTTCAAGTCTTCCTTAATTATGGGAAACTATACCAAACAACAGAACTTTGAAAACTAATTCTAATCAGAATTCTGATTTGTCATCTATGGCAATCACGGAGCTGAACAATGACGTCGTTTCACATATCTCGTCATTTTCAATTTGACTAAATTAAAATTCTATGTTACTTATTTAAAATGTCATGTGACATACTAAAATCTATTGTGGCCTTTTTCTCGGAGAAAAGTTCATGGAGGAAAGGTTTATAACAGACAAATACAGATTTTGATATCCACATCTTAATAATACCTACATATATAATATTCATGTACATAATATCATATATCATTATATTGTCATAACTCAGTAAGGTTATCTCCCTTACCTTCACATGACTTTGCGCACCAAGATTGTAGATTTCGTGAGGCTGGACTACGCTAATGATCTTCACCAGACAGGTACTGTCTGTAAGGTCTCCATAGTGCAGATGCATGGCTGAAATTAATAGTGTATACTAAGGTACCATGTCACAAAAAGTTACTTTCACTTTACAATATATATATATATATGTATACTTATATAAAGTGATAACTTGATTTCTTTATGTAATAAATAATAAGGTGCTGAGAACTATAATTCAATGCTTGATATTATTTAAATTGAAACGTATTAATATAAAACAAAGCAAAAAACTTTGGAAAAAAATGGAAAACACATAAAGCTTGAAAAACAAAGCATACTGACATCACAAATATGGAATGGTGTTAGTATATTTGATAATGTACTACAAAATGTGAGACTGGACTGATATTGTCAGTGATGTTAGGTATATATTTAACATATTTTTAACAAATTTCACCGACTTGTATATTGTATACACAGAAATATCATTTCATTGAAGTTATCATTACCCTAAAAATATTAAATAATTTCAAAAGTTTCACTGTCATTGTAATTACACAGATCACAATCAGAAAGTGAACATGACTTTAATCTGTTGCCTATATAACAAGAAAACAATTAGTTTTGACCCCAAAGAAATCTTTTGTGAAATATTTTAATTTTTGAGTAAGTTGTAACAGATCATCACTAAATATACATTCTCTGACTCTTGGTTAAATATGAATAACAATAATGGTCATCTGAATATGAAACAAAACTGAACGTAAATTTCACATTGTTTACAATTTTAACAGTCAACATCAGCTGGGTATTATATCTCATGATGATAATCCTTACCAAGTTTGAATTTCTCCTCATAGAAATGAAGCAATGTACCCCAAGTATTATTTTCCTATATATCTGGCCTAACTTTTTTTATGATATTACATCCAATAGCATGGGAGAAATGTGAAATCCTCGAATCACAAAATTCACAAATTTGAAAATTACTTTCCAAGAATGGGAATTGTTTCTTATAAATCTTTGTATAAAGAAAAGTTCTGAAATTTAAACCAATTTTACCCCTTTTCCGCCTTGTCCCTGAGTTTTTAAGGGTACAAATTTATCAACCACCAGTATTGGTTTACCTTTAGGCATGGTAGATTTCCAAAAAAAATTCATCATATATTAATTCAAATTTCATTGGTTCTCTGAGAGACCAGATGTGTTAGACAATGCCACATAAAGGCAAACACCGGTCATGTGAGACTTTGTCTCAGATGAACTTAAAGTATAATCAGGACCCAGATTTATCTTCTTTCATAACCCTTCCTATGGACTAACTCTCACATGTTCTTACATAACCCTTCCTACAGACTAACTCTCACATGAATTTAAGCATAACCAGGACCTAGAGTTTTCTTCTTACATAACCCTTCCTATACACTAAGTTTCAAATGAACTTAAAGCACAACCAGAACCCAGATTTGTCTTCGTTCATAACCCTTTCTACACACTAAGTTCCACATAAACTCAAAGCATAACCAGGACCCAGATTTATCTTCTTTCATAACCCTTTCTACACACTAAGCTCCACATAAAGTCAAAGCATAACCAGGACCCAGATTTATCTTCGTTCATAACCCTTTCTACACACTAAGCTCCACATAAACTCAAAGCATAACCAGGACCCAGATTTATCTTCTTTCATAACCCTTTCTACACACTAGGCTCCACATAAACTCAAAGCATAACCAGGACCCAGATTTATCTTCTTTCATAACCCTTTCTACACACTAAGCTCCACATAAAGTCAAAGCATAACCAGGACCCAGATTTATCTTCGTTCATAACCTTTCCTACATGTCAAACCTCACATGAACTTAAAGCATAACCAGGACCCAGGTTTATCTTCTTTCATACCACTTCCTACACACAAAAAGTCTCACATGAACTTACAGCTCAATCAATAAACAGATAAAACTATAGCTATGGTGACAGATCCAGAGGGTTTCCTCAGAAGAGGCTGCAGTAACCTGCCAATCTTTGGATTAGGATTACAGCACCTTAAAGCTATTTGGCTAGGGAACATACCATACAGGATTTTCAATTACCAACTTCTGGATGATTTTTATTTTAAATTATGGCACGAGTCACATAAATTTGCAAAATAAAGATGCCAGTACCCTATTCCCAATATAAGGAACGATCTGATATATCTATTTTGTTAAAAACACTCTCTTGACATCTTGAAATAAATGATGTTTTAGTAAAAGTTCTGGGTGTAACAAACTACTATATCACAAAACGTGTTAACAGGTCTATTGACTGACACTAGCTAGCTAATTAGCATTTAATGAAAAATCTACAATTAGGTAGTCAACAGAACAGATTCCTAAGTTTTGTCCAAAACTCAACGACATGACAACATTCAGATTTGTATGATTAGAAGCTATCTGAGGTCAGTTCTCATTTAAACAAATGATGTCATCCTATTATTATTACACAATGAGAATTATAATCTACTTTTTAGTAAAAATCATACCAGCACTGCCACTTTGAGATTAAATTGAAAGTAAGGTAACAAGACATTCAGAAAAATGAGGCATTTCTGAACAATGAATCCCATCCCAAAACTGGTAACTCAAAATCATCCCACTCCAAACCCAAAATCACCTGTGGCTCCACCACTGGCCGACTATTGCTATCCAATGGACATTTTGATATACAAGTGCACAAAAAACAGGAAAACTTCCAGTGGTAGCTTCTTGGTCAGCAGCACTATAGAAAATGGCTAAATATCATCATACAGGCAGCAGGAAAATAGAGCAATCTATGAAATACTGGTATCTGCTTAAGATTTTTTCCTGACAATTTCCAAAATGAATTTGCCTTCCCAAACAAATGTTTACATTTTAAACATCAACATTCTGGTTTTTCATTCTGATTTTCATTAAGAACCACAAAATTTAGACCAACATAAAACACCATAATGGCATTCATCAGCTATCCCATGATACACCATAATGGCATTCATCAGCTATCCCATGATACACCATAATGGCATTCATCAGCTGTCCCATGATACACCATAATGGCATTCATCAGCTGTCCCATGATACACCATAATGGCATTCATCTGCTGTCCCATGATACACCATAATGGCATTCATCTGCTGTCCCATGATACACCATAATGGCATTCATCAGCTGTCCCATGATACACTCCAACCAAAGTTCATCATTTAGACATGACAAAAACAAAGTACATTATCAGTACAATATCAAAATGAAATCATCATGTACTGACAAAAAATCATTTTGGAATATCTTTATTTCACTCTAACTACATTAGTGTGTTGAAAACTATCAAAACAAAAAAAAAAGACTAAGACATTTTCAGACTGAAATGTTTTCTTTAAAAGTTGTCATGTCTTAACCTTAAGATCCTACCTCATGGAAGATTAATGTTCATGCATGCAAAATGTTTCATTTACGATAGAATGGTGATCAGATAAATCTATCAGTTTATCAAACTAAGAATATTTTATACCAACCATTTATCTAAACAGTAAATGGTTTGATAAATAAATTTAACAATTAGTTATGACAAACGCTCTGATCAATCTACAATTTATTTCCATGAGTGCTTTTCAACTTTACTGCTAAAAACAACTGGTTCCACAATGTAAAATTCTAGTATTTCTTGAAATTCTATGAGTCTCGTTAAAATTCCACGAGTACAGGGCTTAGGACTCACACATAAGATTTATCACTGCTATGGTAAGTGTTAAATTTAGTTCTGGTAAGTTAAAAAGGGACAGAGGGCAAGACAAAGAATAAGATGAAGTGTGTTAGAAACATCAACATATTAGTATAGAAAATCATTCACTCATTGACTTGGCCATATTTCATTGTTAATACAAGTAAAAAACAAATTTAGATATGTGAGAAAGGTGTTAGAATTTGTACAACAATTACACCGGTACTATCACCAGATCTGTCAATACTAAAACCAAAGACAAACAAGCAAGAAAAGAATTTCTGGTTACAGAAGGAGGGCGTAAAGTGATGTCTATTTCGTTTGCCATGACAACCCAAAACATTTATTTGCAACAAGAGTTTGTTCGTTAAAAAATGCAGTTGATGAACATCCTACTTTGTCTTTATTCATTTTTTTTTTGTTTTTGTTCAGGTTTATATTTTTTTTTCTTGCAAACTAATCTGTTTTGTTAATCTGTGATATTATAAAAGGGATCACTATTATTTAGAGGTATACTTTTACCCAAGGAATCCACGGTTTTATTGGAGTGGTATCCTCATAAAAAATGTTTAAAAATCTAGCAAATAGCCTACATATGGTATGCATTATCTAACGTTCCATCTCCTTCTTTGTACCTTTTGTATATGACATCTGAATGTGAAAAAATCACTTTAAGCCCACAGAAGTATGTAAAGATAGAGCTACAAGTAAAGTGTACAGAATTTATCATATATATATTGTTAAGTACTTACTGCCTCTCCCCACTGTGGAGGAAAACAAACACTACATATATATAATCTGTATGACAGGCTGACATGATGCTTTCTAGGTCACATGATCACTCGTGAAGGATACAGGCAAATTAATACAAAGTCATTTCACATGATGCAACATAAGGTAGATCTACTAATTACATACAGAAAAAAAATGATCAGCACACGATGCAAGATGCAAAACAAAATTATCTATCCACATGTATACCAAATTCAAGCCCAAGCATTTGTTTAAATTACTTTTGATAGACAAGCTTATCATTCCTATATTGCCTCCTAATCAAAGATATTTTCATGGCAAAAATCTCTCTTATCAACTGGAAATATTTTAACGACATGCATGATGATTATTCTGAAGAATGTAATAAAAGTGTGAGGTTAATGATTTTATACCAAAAATGGGCATGAAGAATTAATTTCTAACCAAGACTAGAAAATATGACAAAATGTCACGGGATGGAACTCTAAATTGCCCCCTGCCACAAAATGACAGGGCATAAATATGTGATCAAGGGAGATAATCTTCAAATTTTCAGGAATCCCTACAGGAAAGACGTTTTCATGTTTTAACACATCATGTTTCTTGGGACCAGCTAAGTAAATTCATATCTTATAATTTGATTACACCTACCGACTCCATGGTCCAATTTTTAATTATTTGTCTCCAATCAAAAAGATTTCAAAACAAAATGTTCTGATAAATCTGAATATCATTTAATTTCATCACCGATACTACAAATGCAAAAGTAGATATAGATAAGTACTTTGGTAAATATATACGATATACAGAATATAACAGCAAAATGCACTCATTACTTTGAAATATATCAACTGTTTACATAATCAATTAGAAGACAATGCTTAGATATTTCCATCCTTAAGAACAGGTTATAAAATGAAATTTTTTTGTAATAATGTACATACAAACAATACTTATTGCCAGAATATATAACAGTAAATATTGGAAAGTAGTCAATCTATGTGATTGAGCAAGCACAATCTGTTTTCGTTCTAAAAAATAAATGTTTATACTTACACCCCTCTGTGTGACATTTTGGGTCGGCATACAAGTGTTCTATCCTTGAAGTGTTGAATGTACTTGCTCTTCTGATGATACCGTGCACCTAGAATTAAAACCATCACAGAGCATGTAAATTGACAAAAGTCATCCAACATTGAAAATTCAAAAATCCATGTAATGTGTGTTGCTTTTTACTATTTTTTTTCAAGAAATTAAAGATCGAAAATGGGGGGTACTCAGAATTTACCAATATCCATACACAGGTCACTTGTAACACACCATACACAAGTCACTTGTAACATACCATACATAGGTCACTTGTAACACACCATACACAGGTTACTTGTAATACACCATACACAGGTTACTTGTAACACACACAGGTCACTTGTAACACACACAGGCCACTTGTTACACACCATACACAAGTCACTTGTAACACACTATACACAGGTCACTTGTAACACACCATATAGTCACTTGTAACACACCATATAGTCACTTGTAACATACCATACACAGGTCACTTGTAACACACCATACACAGGTTACTTGTAATACACCATACACAGGTTACTTGTAACACACACAGGTCACTTGTTACACACCATACACAAGTCACTTGTAACACACCATACACAGGTCACTTGTAACACACCATACACAAGTCATTTGTAACACACCATACACAGATAACTTGTAACACACCATACACAGATAACTTGTAACACACCATATAGTCACTTGTAACACACCATACACAAGTCACTTGTAACACACCATATAGTCACTTGTAACACACCATACACAAGTCACTTGTAACACACCATACACAAGTCACTTGTAACACACCATATACAGGTCACCTTTTACACACAATATACTGGTCACTTGTTACACACCATATACAGGTCACTTGTTACACACAATATACAGGTCACTTGTAACACACACAGGTCACTTGTAACACACACAGGTCACTTGTAACACACCATATACAGGTCACTTGTTACACACCATATACAGGTCACTTATAACACACCATACACAAGTCACTTGTAACACACCATACACAAGTCACTTGTAACACACCATACACAGGTCACGTGTAACACACCATATAGTCACTTGTAACACACCATACACAAGTCACTTGTAACACACCATACACAAGTCACTTGTAACACACCATACACAGGTCACTTGTTACACACCATATACAGGTCACTTGTTACACACCATACACAGATCACGTGTAACACACACAGGTCACTTGTAACACACACAGGTCACACACCATATACAGGTCACTTGTACACACACCATATAACACACCATACACAAGTCACTTGTAACACACCATACACAAGTCACTTCACTTGTAACACACCATACACAGATAACTTGTAACACACCATATAGTCACTTGTAACACACCATACACAAGTCACTAGTAACACACCATACACAAGTCACTTGTCACACCATTTTACACACAATATACTGGTCACTTGTTACACACCATATACAGGTCACTTGTAACACACTACACACCACACCATATACACTTGTAACACACCATATAGTCACATGTAACACACCATATAGTCACTTGTAACACACCATACACAAGTCACTTGTAACACACCATACACAAGTCACTTGTAACACACTATACACAGGTCACTTGTAACACACTATACACAGGTCACTTGTAACACACCATATACAGGTCACTTGTTACACACCATATACAGGTCACTTATAACACACCATACACAAGTCACTTGTAACACACCATACACAAGTCACTTGTTACACACCATATACAGGTCACTTGTAACACACCATACACAGATAACTTGTAACACACCATATAGTCACTTGTAACACACCATACACAAGTCACTAGTAACACACCATACACAAGTCACTTGTAACACACCATATACAGGTCACTTGTAACACACCATACACAGGTCACTTGTTACACACCATATACAGGTCACTTGTAACACACTATACACAGGTCACTTGTAACACACCATATAGTCACTTGTAACACACCATATAGTCACATGTAACACACCATATAGTCACTTGTAACACACCATACACAAGTCACTTGTAACACACCATACACAAGTCACTTGTAACACACTATACACAGGTCACTTGTAACACACTATACACAGGTCACTTGTAACACACCATATAGTCACTTGTAACACACCATATAGTCACTTGTAACACATTTTCCCTTTACTCAGTCAGATGATATGCTCATAACAGAACAAAGAAATAGGTTTTAATTATAAGTTTTCTGAACAGTAAGATATTTGATGACTTTTATTGGCCAAGGGCTTATAATTATTACTTGATAAATATATTTTACAAATGTACATGTATATATTCATTTTACCAAAGTTTAAAAACTTTTTACCACACATTCACATAAAAAAGACAGATTTTATTAAACAGTTAACATCAATAAAAAAATTCCACACTTTATATTATACAAAAATCCATATAACATAGATGGAATTTCTCAGAGTAAACAACATATGGTACAGACCATAGCTACAGTCATATATCAATACTGACTGCATTGATTTGACTTTCTTAACTAACATCAAAATATGACAGGCCGTTTAATGTTTTACAGAATCCAAAAAAGACTCTGTAAAAGGACAAAGCCATTCGTAAATAATTCTTTATTTATAATATATATTTAAATTCATTTTTTCAAAATGTCATGGATGACTTTAATGTAAAAATATCAAAATTCAATTTTTTTTAAAATGTCATGGACGTCTTTAATATAAAAATATCAAAATTCAATTTTTTTTAAAATGTCATGGACGACTTTAATATAAAAACATCATCTAATAAGTTTTAAATACAATGTTTATTGATAAATGGATGATGATATTCATCTATGAAGGCTAATAGTCTGTACAGTCTTCATTAACACTGTGCTGTAAGTACCTACTAGTAAACAAAGCACAAGTATATCAGACATAAACTTGATGAAGAAATTTTTGTTAACAATAAATGAAGGCATTATTGAAATATGAAATAGGGATCAGTCTTGATTTGATACCCTATTATGTTTTCAAAATTCTGTGTGAAATCAGAACTGATTTCTGGACTAATGGTGCCCTCTAGGACATATGGCCCACAGGCAAACATAGAAAATCCACTGGTCAAAGAAAATATACAAAGACTATCAGTGAAAATAATGAATCCTCTCCAAAAAATTGGACAATAAAGAATGGACGGACGGACAAAGCAGTGACTATATGGGGGGCATAAAAACTGTAAATACATTGTATTGTTCTTTCAGCATCGTATTTTTTTCCTGTCTCAAAACATTACCTCATATCCTTTACCAATCAGGAACTCTGCCAAGTAAGACCCATCCTGTAATAAAAGAAAGTATTTATGAAATGTGAATACCGGTTTTTAAAACTTTACCATTAAATTTTGTAGAAAAGAATCAACACCTAATATATCACATATGTACTTCAAGATTTAACAGAATATAGGTTTCAATCACCAATTTATCACTAAAACTTACTATCAATGTCTTTCATTTTAGTGTTCTACAGAGTTAACTGGTCTACACACAATTTTATTATCAAAAATATCATCGAATGTTTCCATGCACCAATCACTTTCACAGAGTTTTTCAATGCACTCGGGACCTGAGTCCTTTTCTTGATCAACACATGCTACAGTGACGTACCATAAGTATTTCACATTTAAAAAAATTTTGTGATATATTCTTTATATTTCTAAATTTTTTCATTGAATTTCCTTGTCTTTGTTTAGGGATGAATTTTGGAAATATTTAGCCATTTTGTACAATAATATCCATACTTTCTTCTGATAATATTAATTTAATTTTCCATGCTTCATTTCAGGGGTAATAATAAATTATCTACGCTGCTAATTTCCATGCATTTTCCTATCTGCCGTTACCAAAATGATGTCAACATGGCATTCTGAAAATCGCATGTCGTAAATAAACAATCATTTTCTTGGTATTACAGAACAGAAAACAATGGAAACAATATTAAATGAAGCATAAAACAATTCTCCATAAGTGTACAAAATTTCATTAAAAATTATCCATGAACGAAGTCAAGAAAAATTCAATGAACAAGTTAAATACAAAGTAATATGGTAAGATAAAAAATGTGAAATATTTATGGCACATCACTGTATATAGTTTATTACAGGCAAACGTCATGTGACGGTATGGACACTACTAGCAAACTGTTGCAACCTGAAATTGTATAGAATGCTGATATCTTTCTCAATTTGCTTGGGAATATTACAATAGGATGTAACTTGTATGGTCAATTTATACACGTTATTGCCTACTATGAGTAATAGTAAACTGATATCAGATTCTTTGTAATCATAACAGTATTTTTTTCTTAATATTTTCATATTTGAGTTTTTATTCTAAAACCTACTGAATAAAGCTAATGTTTTTGCCTATGTTAGTAAAACCAAGTCTGGTGACCATGGTAACACACTTGCTTTTTACCTAGTCAACCTGGGTTCAATTCCCAAATGGACATGAAAACTTAATAGTGGCACCTACCCGGGTATATGTGTTTTCCAGGGCTTCCATCCCAATTAACAAATGATTAATTTTAGTTGGTCTAACTTCTTTCATAATTGTTGTTTGAAAAATATGTAACATATCTAATATTTCACCCCAGTGATAGGGATGGATGCCAAAACAAAACACAGAATTGTATGGGGTCACCTTCTTAACTATGCGTCCAGGTATGTTGGTGTCCCCCCAACAGCATGCCCCATGGCAATTACAGTAGCACGCTTCAAATTCAGTTCCAGAGCAGTCCCAGAAAGCAACTTATTTTTCAAAGGCAAAGGTGGAATTGAAAAGAGGTAGAAGGGATTAAGTGTAGTGTTGGAGTCAGGCTCAAGATGACCAGAAGGTTTTTGAGACGAAGTCACGAAGGTAACGGGTACATTAGGCAAGAGGTATTCTAAATGCGATTGTCAACACCTCCACGGGGTAGGTTTTTTGTTTTAAGTTGAGCTACATGCCAAAGGAATCGCAAAATATGCAAAAGATATTAAGAATTGAATAAATTTATTATGTGCTACATTACCTGTCCAGTTATGCCTGTGATAAGGGCAATTTTCTGCGAAGAAGCTCCGGTCGCCATGCTGAAGAGTGTAAACGTGGATGAGGAATTCCTGTCAACGTCAGGGAGAAACCGGAAATGGAATTGTAGGCATTTCATTGGTTTAGAATAGAAGTGATACTAAATGCCAGTTTGACATACCAATTTTACCGGTAGCAACAAAAAATTCCAAGTATCTGTTTACAATTCGTGGTTGATAACTTATAGAAATGGTTAATTCATCGATTGTTAATAAGAGAATCTCAATCTTATTAATAATATGACAACATTAAGGCATATTTGTCGCCAGTGCGTAAGGAACACAGAGTGCCCAGAAAAAAGCCACAGTGGTCAAGAAGGTGACCCCTTCAATTTTAAGTCCGTTTGGGGAATCCAACTGAAGCCAGCTGGGTGAAAGGTGAGAGCGTGACCTAAGCGCCACTCGACCATCCATGTACCAACAATTTACATCCCATATGAAACACTTTGAAGAGGGTCATCGAAGCAAAATCTTTAATTTGTGATTGAAGTCAATGGACAATGCTTCAGGATATATCACAGGAAAAACTTAGCTAATTAAGTGAAAACATTTGTAAACGGACGAATTCATCGGATAACAGGCGGATTATGAAATATTATCAAAATTCACGCGATCAGAAATAAAACAGAAATAAAATTTAGAAGTTTCTTTAATTCTTATGTATCTTCAAGGCATTTTTTTTTTAATTTGAAGACATTGATATTTTCTTCTGGTGTAAATTAAAAGGGAGTTAACTTGTCATCGGCTTATGGCATCTACAAAATTAGGAAAACGCCATTCCTTGATCTACATTTTAAAAAAGAGAGGAGGTGATTTAAACGCAAGGGACGCAACTCGAGTATTAATCAATTGTTTAAAAAAAAAAACACTTCTCCGATCAACCTAATAAAAACACTTCTTATCATTAAACACAATTATCTGACTGTGGCCGGGAAGGGAGTCAATAAATTGAAATATTTCTTTTCTAATTGAATAGAAATCAATTGGAAAATTTTTCAGCTTTCTACTACAGTTAATTTTTTTTTAAAAAAAATGCTATATAAATGTGACACGTTAACTCAAATTAATTTGCTGCAGCTTTACAAATATATATAGACAATATCTTAACCTTAATTATACATTCCTGCTGGAAACAAAATAGAGTTTTCGAACGCAGTAAAGGAAAAGAGAACGACACATGTGCCCCAGCGCTTCCGTTTCTCCTATGACAGCATCGAAGGCATTTAGTACACCTCGGTTATTTTTAGTCAGGGGAAACACTTATCACAAGCTATAACAAGCACATAAAGCTCAGTCGTCATTGGATACTATGAAGCGTCCCGATAGCATATTAGCCAATCAGATTCACACAACTTCGTACACATACACAGAGCTACTGACGGAATGCACCTTTACAATATGAATGGCGTGTGATTACCTGTGTTGATTGTAGGACACGATCCGGCTGGTACCTGGATGTGTTGATCTGTGGGAGATAGATCTGCTATACAATGGTGTAGATATGTATAATGGGACTAAGAATGAGAATTATGTGACGATGACGGAAGGCGTACAAACATTTCTCGAAGATTTGGGGTTGCTGCAATATTTTGACATGTTCGTCATCAAAGGCTTTGATTGTGAGGACGATTTATGTCATATTGACAGTGCCGACCTAGATTCCATGATGGTATCGGACCCCGACCATCGTCGACAGATTCTACACGCAGGTGAGTACCCGTTGTTTAGAACAAGTGCACCACACACGCCCACAAAGCTGGTGTAAACAAGTAGCCACGTGCTTCAGGGGAAGTAATTCAGGGGTATGAGTCTGTCAAAGTTATTGATTCGAGCTATGCTCATTTTAGGATCGATATCACGTGTCTGTTGCTTATCGCGATTCATAATTAATGGGTTTAATAACAATTGTAATTGGACGGATACTGCACATTCCCTGTAGAAATAGCAAAGCAAGTTCATGTTTAAATTATCATTAAGCATTTTTTTCACAGATCATGTTTCACCATTAGCTAAATTATCATACGGTATTGTTGCATTATATTTTAACACAAAAGTCATTGCAAGCTTGTGTAGTCCTGTGATATCTGACATTTTTCTTATTTATTAATTTATCAGCAACCTACTTTTCTTCAAACATTAAAAAATACCAAGAAAACACAAGGCATGGAAATTCTCCCAACTCACAAAATGAGAATATTTTTCAATGTTTGATTAAATGTTGTAGCTCGTCGTTTCAAACCCAGCCCCGAGTACAAGTTGTTGGAATGGCTCAAAACCAATGGCCTGGATTACTATTTCCCAAACTTTGTGAACAGCGAGTCTGCCAACGACTTGGACCAAATAAAGACTCTAAATCTACCAGACCCAGACGTTTTTGACGAGCTAGAAATCACACTACCTGGACACAAACGGCGACTCGAGCGAGCAGGTGGGATTATTATAATCATTTTTTTTTTAATTTAGTTTTTAAGAATAGCAAAGCAATGCCATAACATTTAAAACAAACACATTAAGGCATACACATACAAAGCGATAATGATGTACAAGCGTGTTATTATTACACAGAAATTAAGTACATGTACTTATACTGAATAGAGTATGTTTGACTATACTGGATGTCGGCAAAATGAAAGTGTTAGAGAAGACAGCTTTCACAGTATCAGTGTATGGGAAATTGGTTTGAGCAGGAAAGTTTCATGGTATAAATGTGTAAGGAAGGGGTTAGAGAAGACAGGTTTTACGGTATCAATGTGTAAGGAAGGGGTTAGAGAAGACATGTTTCACGATATCAATGTGTAAAGAAGGGGTTAGAGAAGACAGGTTTTACGGTATAAATGTGTAAGGTAGGGGTTAGAGAAGACAGGTTTCACGGTATAAATGTGTAAGGAAGGGGTTAGAGAAGACAGGTTTCATGGTATAAATGTGTAAGGAAGGGGTTAGAGAAGACAGGTTTCACGGTATAAATGTGTAAGGAAGGGGTTAGAGAAGACAGGTTTCACGGTATAAATGTGTAAGGAAGGGGTTAGAGAAGACAGGTTTCACGGTATAAATGTGTAAGGAAGGGGTTAGAGAAGACAGGTTTCACGGTATCAATGTGTAAGGAAGGGGTTAGAGAAGACAGGTTTCACGGTATCAATGTGTAAGGAAGGGGTTAGAGAAGACATGTTTCACGGTATAAATGTGTAAGGAAGGGGTTAGAGAAGACAGGTTTCATGGTATTAATGTGTAAAGAAGGGGTTAGAGAAGACAGGTTTCATGGTATTAATGTGTAAAGAAGGGGTTAGAGAAGACAGGTTTCACGGTATAAATGTGTAAGGAAGGGGTTAGAGAAGACAGGTTTCACGGTATAAATGTGTAAGGAAGGGGTTAGAGAAGACATGTTTCACGGTATCAATGTGTAAAGAAGGGGTTAGAGAAGACAGGTTTCATGGTATTAATGTGTAAAGAAGGGGTTAGAGAAGACAGGTTTCATGGTATAAATGTGTAAAGAAGGGGTTAGAGAAGACAGGTTTCATGGTATTAATGTGTAAAGAAGGGGTTAGAGAAGACAGGTTTCACGGTATAAATGTGTAAAGAAGGGGTTAGAGAAGACAGGTTTCATGGTATTAATGTGTAAAGAAGGGGTTAGAGAAGACAGGTTTCATGGTATAAATGTGTAAGGAAGGGGTTAGAGAAGACATGTTTCACGGTATAAATGTGTAAGGAAGGGGTTAGAGAAGACAGGTTTCACGGTATAAATTTGTAAAGAAGGGGTTAGAGAAGACAGGTTTCACGGTATCAATGTGTAAGGAAGGGGTTAGAGAAGACATGTTTCACGGTATAAATGTACAAGGAAAGTATACAAATCTTGTACTACAATGCGTATGGGCATTATAATAAATACTTACGTCTCGCCATTTTCCTCTACTCTACAACAGGGAATTAACAACAAACATCAGTAAATATGAATATCTTGAAGTATACACTTTGTCCTGGACTATCCAGGTACGTGCAATGATGGATCCCTGTAGGAACACAGGTTATTGATCATTAACAGCAACCGTCAATTAGATCTTAGATAGGTAAGAAATGAAGATTTTCTTACCTTCGACGTTTGGTCGGCACTTTTCCACGAGGCATTTTACTCTTCTTTCATGCACAGGACTCTGACAATCAAAATGTTCACACAATATCAATGTACAAGTATGTGTACTTATATGTCAGGAAACGGTATCCGGAAATATCGCCGGGACTTATCGTATGTCTCGTACAACAGAAGAATGGATACTTAATATAACCGGTAGATGAATGCGATATATAATACAGGGACTTGTGATGGGTTTTTATTTTTATTACTTATATACACAGGGGCTTAAAATAATCTATACTTGGAATATATATTGATTTTCGGGACCTCGTGTTATTGGTGATCTGATTTGTGATGTGAAATAAGTCAAGATAACGACGAAATTGCTTTCACAAGTTAACATGGCCTCATATTAATTGTCTTGTTCGACTAACCTACTGTAGGGTATTTTATTGTGTTAGAAAAATAGCTAACTAGAACACACACAATAAAAATCTGTTCCAGTGTGCAAGTTTCCCGTCGGTTGTTTTCGCGATCAGACGATGGTCCCGTTTACGCGTTGCCCATAATATAGGCTGTCGTGCCGTCGTACGCGCGATCGATTTACACCTGCCGGCATTTCGTGTGCTGCATGTCTATGAAACCGTAACGTTACTCCGGTGATAGATAATTGATGCTGCTAGGTCCTCCACCTCCCAGCTCTCCTCCCGCACCCGTCTAACAACTAAGGAATGGCCGGGACACGTACCTAGCGCGGAGTTACATTTACCGTTAGGTTTCATATATAATGCAGGTTGGTTATTTACATGAAATCAGCGTCCGCAACTAACGATAGTCAATACAGAATTATCGATGAAATAAACAGGTGTTTTACCTGTGTTCCGTAATAACGACCTTTACCAAGGGGACACGCCTCAGTGATTTTATTACTGTATCGCTCTCGGTCAAACACACGTGCACATGAATTAATCAATTTTACAAGTTACTACAGCAATAACGTCACGCTAAGTACCAGACAAAAGCGGATTGTGAAAGGCATGTGCCCGATCGGTTATCAAGTCTTATTATGAAGTGGAGAGAAAGGGTGATGGTGGTGGGTGTGTGGGAGGGGGAGGAGGTCGGAGGTCAGCCAACTCAACAGCTGATAATGAAGCAGCATACCTGTACGTTTTCATTTCCCAAGACTGAGATTTGCTTAAATTGATTTTGAACTAATTAATGATGTGAAATCTAACCCCAAATACAATTCGATTCAATTTAATCTCTATTTTATAATTACACAGTAATTTGAAGCAAAAAAAATAAACAGATAAATAAATAAATAAATAAAACTTCATATTCGACACACACACACACACGTAAAAATTATATGCATGTACCAGAGACATATATAACACGTTATATACGTCTCTGCATGTACTTATTAACCCCGATTTATTATCCCGGACAATATTACAGCTCTCTTTCCTCCGTGTCTGTTTTATTAGTGGTGCCATTATCAATGACAGATTGAGATGTAGTCGGCGAATCCGTGAATCTGATCTCATATGCAGTTTTTGGTTGCTTGGTTGGTTATGTTTTCTCGTCTCCTTGACTTTCTATCACTAGGCGTTGTCTCACTGTCGAACGTCAGAGGTAGCCACCAGCTACTAAAAACACGCTTGAAAATGACGCTGACTGCTCATTGGGCGAGAGACACATTTTCATACACATCAAGTCCTCGCTTTTCATATCGAAGTCTGTGTTATAACATGATATATGATTTTTACGTAACATATTGAAAAGTATGTATAAGTGACACTCAAATGAATAATTATGTGTGGTTTTTTTTTTAAAAAAGTTGACTGTCGTACAACATGTTTAGCTATTTATGGCCGATATTGCTAATGTATATTATCAAAGGGACTCTGAGCATGCCGTGATTCCATTTGTTATGTATGTGTTATACTGGTCGGTCAGGGGCGTATCTACCTAAGGCACGACTAGGCACGTGTCTATACATAAATTTTACCATGCATGTTTTATTCCATTTTTTCTGTGTTTTTCTCTTCTATTTTTCAATTGTAAATTTTCAATTTCTACATCAAAATCGTGAATGTTTCCAATCAGACATATAATTTCAATGCGGATTTTATAGGAGCCGGATACTCAGTACCCATGTCCGTATCCGTATTTAGTTTTCGCAAAAAGTTCGATAACTTCCTCATTACAAACTTCCTAGGCCAAGATGGATAAATTTGTCGTCCGCTACAAGTCAGGACCTAGGGACCCCAGACCCCTCGCCTTTAAATGTGCCTATTCTTTATTTCAGTTGTAGCTACGCCCCTGTCTGTGATATATCTAATTAAATATTTTACAACATAAGGGGAAATAACTCCATTCCGGAATTTAGTTTTTTTTGTCAATAGTTTGTACATAAATCCGGATAAGTTTACCGGGACATGTTTTAAAGTCATAATCCAGATTTGAAGCTAACTAAAATGGCGTCTAATGTACTTTGATAGTTGCATTTAACGTTTTATTTTAAACAAGGATATAATTTTACATCCAAAGTTCACAACACTCTTAAAACATCCTCCCGCGATCTTCTGAGCCTCCTGCGTGACTTAATGGCAATGCCTGAGTTTACGGTCATTGATCAATGCATATCTAGATGTGTGTGGTGTGAACGACATTTTTAAGATATGTCCGACTCTAATGATGAAAAACAATTTTTGATATCACATTTGAAATGAATACAAACATGCATGTAACAATACACAGACCGTGATAAAAAAGGAGGCCTGTTGTATACCAATCTTCTAACCGACCATCGACGTGGCATTGGTCACTATACAAGGGCATGTTGGACACGATAAAAAATCCGCCCGTGTCGAATAACTCTGACCTTGAACACACACACTATTGGTATCAGTGTACATCAAAACACATTAAGTTTAGAATACAAATTCGCAAGCTAAAGGTTTGCATAATAAGATACTTTCCCTTCTTGAAAAGTACAGTACTATGAAGCATGCGCACCGTTGGCTTGCGAAGTCGATACATCGTAAAACATTTTTTTTTTGTTTTAATATAGGTTCTATGCGGAAAACAAACAAAACAAGCAAAAGCAAACATTTTTGAATCTGTTTTTCTTCAGTTAATACGGAAATAAAAATCCACGTTTTCGAGCTCATCTGAATAGCATATGAATCATGCTTGCGAACAATATTACCATTTCCGTTTTGATTTACTGGCCATAAGAAGAAAAAAAAACAACAGAATTTAGAGTTTTATTTATAAACATGTCTATATGTTTTTATATACGCTTAAGCGTGACACACTACTTAAGATTTATAAGTGCCTTTTATTACCAATTTTTGAGTACGCTTGTGAAGTATGTGATGGCTGTACTGTATATGAATATATATGAATATAATTTATTAGAGAAAGTTCAACCTTAGACTATGCGTATTATTATATGCTGAATCTGGATCAGAACCACCCTCTGGAAGAAGGCAACGACGAAAACTCTATCTTTTATATAAGATGAAAAATAATTTAACTCCAGAATTTCTAAATTCCATCCTGCCACATACTGTTGGTCAAGACATCCGGTATCCATTACGAAATCGGTCCAACTTTTCAATTACCAACTATAGACTTTCTAGTACAAATTCCTCCTTCCTTCCCTCAGGTCTTCGTGCTTGGAACGAACTGGACATATTAGTCAGATCATCCCCTACTTTAAGTAGTTTTAAACATTCTATCAAGCCAAACCAATACCAGCCCCCCGTATATTATAATTTTGGAGACAGGAAACTAAATATAGTTCACACTAAATTGAGGCATAAATGTAGTTCATTGAACCATGATTTATTTCGTGCTCATCTCACAGAAAGCCCAGAGTGTGGTTGTCACTTCTTTTTTAGCTGTGTAAATTATAGTAATCAGCGGCGAATTCTATTTCAAAGCTTAAACACACTGGATACAAACATCGATTTTAATCTAAATATCCTCCTTTGTGGAGATCAACACTTACCCGTTGACTTTAATGTGGAAATATTTAGAAATGTACACATCTTCATCAAAACCAGCAATAGATTTTAATTTAAGTGAATAATTTAATGTTCATTTTGAATGAACGAGGAGAGCAACCTTAGGTCAGGACTTGAAATATGTATGTTTTGTGTCTTCTTATTTGCCTTAATTTTTACTTGTTATAATGTGTAAAGAGGGCTTAAATAATGTTGTAATAACTTGTGCCCGATCCGTTTGCTTGTTTGTTGGCAATAAAATATGTTTAAACTAATGTTTTAGTCAGCCGATTGAGGAAACGTATCAAAGTAATGGACCCGTCACCGGAAGAGCCCCTTGCGCATGGTCGGTGGGCGAAGCCAATGTCATTGCAAGATGGGAAATTTGATTTTCTGGTGTTGGATGCCACAGTATTTTCTACAAGAGATCGGAAAAAGTCTCATACACTGGGTAAGACATTCCTTCCTTCTTTTCCTTCATCCCTCCCTCCCTCTAATTGCAAAATGTAATGGATTTTCTTTTCCTAAACTGGAGAAAATACATACACAGAAGTTCGATCATCATTATTCAGCTTGTGATGTGCCATATATACCATATTCTACATCTGAGATTAAAATCGTGAAAACATTTTGTGAGCTCAATCTGTGAAAAGTTTGGTGTATGTAAAATGGTGGATATTAATATGTCTTTCACTCTTTATTTTTTCTTTTTTTTTGTATAAATTTTAGGATTGAAAATTGAACATTTTCTTCTTCGTCAACTTTTATTAGTTTTTTCTCTCTTCTTGACGTTCATCTTTCTGTCCTTTTCTTTTTTTAGAATTTATGATAGATTCTGGAAGTGACGTCACCACTATACGAGAAGAGGTTCTGGAGAACCTAGATTTGGAGTTATTGGGCAGAATACACAGTAAGGGGGTTCACGGATCCAAAAGTACCAACCTGTACAAAGCCTTTCTCCGAATAGGCAACCAGGAACTTCAGATAGAGGTGTGTTAAAATACGATAGAGTTCTAATGAGGATGATATTGAGATCTCAGTTGTTTTAAACAATCAGCATCTTCATACAGTGATTCTAAACGACGTACAGTAAATAAGATTGAATTGGACAGCTTTGTATCCAAATGCATGTGTTTTCCTATATTTTCTTCTAACATTAATATTTCTGTGACACGGAAATCATAGTATATTTTATTTACTGATAATTTATTGATAATTAATGTGTATTTTAGGACTGGCTTTGATTGAATTTCGCCGTAATCATATCACAGTTTACTTTCTCGTGTCGACGAAGAGTGCAAATGATTTTGATGAATGTTGGATTTGGAAATTTAAAAACGTGTTTATATCATCAGTTGATAAAATCTTTTATTACAATCTTAATCTATTCTCAAAATCTGTCAAAATTTTTAGAATAGCCATACAATGTATGTTGTAGTTTTCACCAAGACGCTTTTCCAATCTTCGTCTCAATGAAGGAAGTAGTTTTAACTGCATTAAAACAAAAATTAACTAAATCTGAATAACGAATGTTGAGTAAAATTTGATTTCATTTTTTAACCACTTCTTGAATAACTCCCCCCTAGTGGCAACAACAAAACCATGTGTTGGCTGTTCACAACGCACTGACCTGAAATGCGACGCCATTAATGTAATTTTGAAACTGATTTCTATTGTTTACAGGTTATGGGAGAGTCTTATGACTCGCTTGGAAGTCGTGTTGTTCGCCACTTCAGACATTTTATCGACGGTAGCCGTCATTTGTGGTTGAAGGGAGATTACTGTGATCCGGATATGACGCCACCTAGGACCGTCACGCCCTCTCCGTCGGATTCTTCGGTATCTCATCGACTTCAGACCCAGTCTTCCTCATCCTCATCATATCTGCAATCTACCTCATCGTCTTACCGAAGTACATCAGATTCACTTTCCTCATCGTCACAAAACCTCTCTCAAAGTCAAAACGGTTCACAGGACATCACACTACAACCGGAAACGGAAGTGACGGATGAAATAGCTGCAACGGCAACAGATAATTCGCAAGAGATAGAGGAACAGTTGCAGGTAGAACTATCTCAAGACAGCGATGAAGAATTGTGAACGATGGCGTGTCTGAATTCTTACGTATATTTATTTTATGTATATTGTGTATCGAAATAATTTTATACTTTATACCATTCCACATAAAGTTATGTATTTTTGTACTGAATAGTGTATGCAATAAATTGCCAGATAAAAAGTGTGCAATCCGTCCGAACACTGTAAAGGGGACATTTTACTATATACTAGAAGGAACCACGTCCTCAACCAGTGTCTGTGATCAGTAGAGTGTCGCCTTATGTGGAGAAAGTAAAGACACACGTGAAGAATTTGTTAATTTCTACAAGAAAAGATAATTAAGACTTTCCGGTTGGGTTACAAGGTCTACACTATCAACCAATAACAATGTTTGTATTTGTCATGTTGCTAATAGTTTGATAGGAGGTGAGGATAATGAGGTATGTTTAGTTACCTTTAGGAATTTTATTAGTCTGTAAAATTATATTGTGTTAAATTATACAGTTACAATAGAAACATACAGTCTACAACATCCTCCATGCTCCCCGGGTTACTATAACTTGCGCTCTCTGCACCCCTGGAACGTGTCCTGGAAAAATTGAGATTCCACGAGCGACACATTGTGGACAAGACAAAAAGTCTAGTTTGATCCTTTATTGTACAACAAACGAATCTCTGGGTCGCATAAAGGTGTATTACAATGGCTTCGAATTGGGTGTCGCTCCTTTGTAATCTTCAAAAGGATCATATCAGCATGTGATTGGTCAGTTTTCTCTTCTGGAACAAATCAGATTACTTCATTTGTGCCTTCAATTTTGCCATGACACATAATCCTTGGAATATCGAGGATGAACCCCACCATTGTAAAACTGAAATCTCAATAATAGAAAGCCTGTACCTACCTACCACTACAACACAAACGAAAATGGCTTATACCTACCTTCTACTTACAACAAGGACAATAAAGAAGGTCTTATACCTACTGTAGCCATATTGACCTACCTTACCACGTTTCTTGAAATAGATACACTCTGTTATCTTGCGTGAGTATTTATTTTTTGTATTTATCATTTATCTCTATTGGGGGGGGGACTTAACATCTCATGTGTGTAGATATATAGTATATTCAACTTACATTAACTGCACTAGATGGTCGTTACCATTGCACCATTACCGGCAGTATCACCCCTACAAACTAGTTCAAATCCCACATCGTTTTGTGTCTGATTCTCGTGTTTGTAATTGAAGATATATGTTTGTTGTGTATATTTATAAAATATATATATAGTGTTGTCCATAATTTCATATATTTATTAAATGGTTACAATATATGTGATTAACCGATTATCTTTGTTGAGAATATAACATCAAAATATAACAATATTTATTATCTTTATCATATAAACACTGTATATATAACTATCATATGATATTTATCATAACAATTGTTTTATACTTCAGTGTTATTTACCTGTAGGTGTTGAATACCTGTATGTGTGATATGTGTAATATTTACCTGTTTGTGTTGAATACCTGTATGTGTGATATTTGAAATATTTACCTGTTTGTGTTGAATACCTGTATGTGTGATATGTGGAATATTTACCTGTTTGTGTTGAATACCTGTATGTGTGATATGTGGAATATTTACCTGTAGGTGTTGAATACCTGTATTTGTGATATGTGTAACATTTGAGATTGTTGTGTACAGCTATATTTAAATTTGGAAGTATTTAATCTTTTTTTCGTAACTACACGGACAAAAGTATCTTTTTCTGATGAACAAATACCAATTTTTAAGCTTTTATTCTAGTCACCAAATACATGTGAAAGTTCATTCATGTTCCAAACTTATTTTTATGACTGACTTCATACGATTGCAAAATGAAAGTTATCTACATTATTAATATTGGTTCAGGTAAGATTTAAAGATTTTTGCTTTTTATTGTTGGTTTTTTTTAGGGGTGGGGGAAGGGGGTTGGGGTTGGAGGGGGTAGATTTACACAATACAACTTCAAGCACTATGCAGACAGATGTACTTAGTATTCTGTCAGAGTTTCTCTGTTTTATGGTTTTGCTCTTAATACCAGGAAGTTGTCCAGAACTTTTAAATATGTATAATTACTATTTTAGACATTTATAATTATGTCAATTTGTCTGTTTTGTTTATTTAGAGAAGTGTACGGTATGCGACTGTGCGTGTCCATGTTTACCATGAGTTTGGTAGAAAGTGTAACTTTTAATACAGTATCATGATATGTCACTGAACAAACTAGTGTGATTTAAGCGTGTGTTATTTATGTCTCTGATCTTAGTGAAAATTGAGGAATGAAATTTACAAATAATCCTACCGGGACCTTCATTTCTTCATTAGTTAGATTTGAACTTACGTAAACATCCATTACCAGACTTTTTAATTTGATGTGTGTTTAATGTTTTGTAAAACATATATAACGATTCTTAAATAAAAGCTCTGCATTGACCATTTGGTATACTTTGTTGGTTTTGTTCTTGTCTCGGCTCATCCCAAGTTTCCGGCGTTATGAAGTGAAATAAGGGCAGTAACTCGTGGAGATCAGAATGGACCCGCCCTGAATCCAGAACGTCGCCAGAACACCGACGTTCATTGATGAGACGATACCTGGCAACGGGAGGAATCATGGAAACGGAAAACCCTGTCAATCAACCAACCAGCGACGGACTGTGATGATGAAGACAGGCCTAGTCACAGTCCTAGTAATAGTAATTAAGACGCTGACCAAAAAATTGGACGAGGTATTCTACACCAATGAACTTGCTTTTTTACCCCCATGATAATCTGGCTTTAGACCACGGATGAATCCACTAGGTGCCACAGCAGAGGCAGCTGAGAATCTGCACCAATGCAAGATGGCCACTAAAAACTAGAGTGTTAAAGACAAAACTAACCCTTTAAATTAAACAATCTGACAAGTATCAATACATCCACAGCTGTGAAATTATGAATAATTTCCCAATTTTGTTTGATTCAGTTTGAAAATTTTCACTAACCACTTGGTATCTCTTAACTATCGTTTGAACAACGTGAGTCAGTAGCTAAGGTCTCAAATTCATTTTGCTGCTTTTTTTTCGCGCCGATATTTCAAAATTAAATAACTTGTCTCTGTCCACGACGTTGAGTTGTTGCTGTGATAAAAATTCAAACGAATAGACTATTATTCTCGATTCAAATAGTATTTAAATACATTGTCAAGTAAGTATGTATACAACATCAGTAAGCATAAAATACAACGAGGTCACTGTGTACAGTGTGACGAGATATTAATGAGAATGTGTACAATTTCAAATATTTGAGCATATTAAATTAATTCATTTCTATAAAATGAACTTCTACGTCGATCTAAAATTTGTTTTACGTTAGGTTTGGGCACTGTTGATAGATATATCGCTGTCATGAAGTATCATCACAAGAACACTAACGTTCGTCGTTGAGACGATACACAGAAACGGGAGGAGGCGGAGACGGAGACGGAAAATCCGTCAACCAACCAACCAACCAACCAGCAACCAACCAAAGTATGAAATATATTTCAATAAATACACCGACATGTGAACCTGTGATCTGTCAGTACTGTCAATAGAGCTCAATGTACGACAGGTGTGATCTACGACATCCATTACGTAATGGTGTTACTGGCACAGGTACCTGAACCAGTAAACAGACTACGAGACATGTCCCTTTGAATCAGTGTATTGCCTGCATGGGCGTATGGTACATACATTGAGTAATGTGCGGCACCACTAAAACTATATATATGTTTTCGCTGGGAAGATCTGTTCAACTGGTATTTTTTTTTAGTTAAATAGTCATTAAAATTGACTAAAAAAGAGGGTTGGTCAGATTGCTGAAACATAGTTTTTTTGGACCGAGATATAATCAGACTCATATCAAAGTGACTTGTTTCAAATGTGGTCATTTCTCACACCTTTTCTCAAAATCTTTGATATCAAATAATCACGTAACTGAACTTGATATGTAAATCATTACCTATACTGAACTGTTATATTATCTATTCCGTCACAAGGCAAACTTTTTTCATTAATTCATTCATTCGTTTATTCATCCATTCCTCTTCATTCATTCCTCTTCTTTCATTCATTTATTCATTCATTCAATCCTCTTCATTAATTAATTAATTCATTCATTCATTCATTTATTCAGTCCTTTTCATTCATTAATTAATTCATTCATTCATTTATTCAGTCCTTTTCATTCATTCATTCATCCATTCAGGTTCATTCATTCATTCATTCATTCAGTCCTGTTCATTCATTCATTCCTCTTCATTCATTCATTCATTCAAGATGAAGAGTTACATTATCAGTATAATTACAGAAAGGAAACACATAAGGTACAGAAGAAGGCATTCAAAGTAGACAAAACAAATATATATATATATATATCTAGATCTTCTGTAAGCTTGTGAACGATAAAAAAAAAAGAGTAATGATTTAGTCACACAGTCGAAACAGACTGTGTTATATACGTCTCTGGGTACAGGAAAAAGATGTTTTGCACAAGAGGAGAATGAAATGATTCAAGCAAGATTACCTCTGGTATTAATGATATCACACATAAATTAAATGATATCAAAAATTTAAATAAATAATATCAGGGACGTATATATCACTTAATATAGGTCCCTGATAATATCAATGAATGAATAAGCGATATTAAAGTGTTATTCCGAACAAGCTGCAAATCTTCTGGCTTTATGTTCTGTAAATTTTAATCACTCGCTCTCATGATTTTTAAAACTATGGTTAACGTCAACATAGTCTCTCCTAGTCAGTTGGGACAGCCTGAGGCGAAATTGGCGGGAATACTCCCGGCCAAACCGTCTAAATATAGCGCGTAGGGAAATCCGAAACAGAAAACAATAGGATCGCGGATATTATGCAGAGTACTTGGTAAATATAAAAGTTTGTATTCTGTTCACTAAAATTTCGGCTGGGATTAGAATTTTGTTAATTCCGAAAGCTTATTTTCTGTTGATTTTGTA